AAGAGGAAAAGAGGCCAGCTGGAGTGACTTAATTCCTGTAATCGCAGCACTTTGGGAGGCCAAGGCAGGAAGATCACTTAAAGCCAGGAGTTTCACAACAGTCTAGGCAATAAAGCAAGACCCCATCTCTACAACAGATTAAAAGATTAGCAAGGCATGGTGGCATGTGCCCGTAGTCCCAGCTATTTGGCAGGCAGAGGTGGGAGGATCACTTAGGGCCAGGAGTTAGAGGCCACAGTGAGCTAATGGAGTGAGCTACATACAGTGAGCAATATGAAGTGCTACTGCACTCAGTCTGGGCAACAGAGTGAGACTCCATCTTCTCAAACAAACAAACAAAAAATAAGCAACTGTGTCACCTCCTTCCACAGCAGTCTACACATCAGTTTAGCAGTAGGTGAATGAAACTAGACTTTTCAGTTTTCAAGAATAAATATTACTTAAAAATCCCGTTAACTCTAGTATATTTGCAACATAGCTATTTGTATGATGTGGCTGAGGCCCTAGTGATCAGTGCTGTGGTTATAATTACAAAAGGTGACACAATAAAAATGCTTTATGTTGCCTCTATAACCATCAACTCTTCCTAAGGGAAAAACACAAAAACCCACCAACCTCACTGCTTGTGATTTTCCAAGCAAATTTCTCTTGCTGGGTTGGCACTGAAGTTAAAATGTTTGGCTGGGCAAATTAAAGTAACTAAGTTTTGAGTTTTGGGCAAATAAAAAGAACTAAGTTTAGAGTTTTTCTGAGTTCTCTAAGTTTTTCTAACTTCCTGAATTCTTACATCATGGATTTGAATCTACCAACAAAACAACGTTTTTTAAAAGTTGCAAGATTGGAGGAGGAAAGACCTTTATTAGAGCAAAAGTTTACCTATTTCATTCTTTACTTTCTAAAATCTGTTGTAAAGAAAAATCTAGGCATACCTGAATTGAATGTTGATTCTAAATGGTTAAAAAGGTTATTGATGATTATACTATGTTGTGAGGTTCTTATGAGTTACTTTGAAAGGTATTTAAAACTTTATAGATACAAGGAATTATTATTGATTGCTATTCATGGCTCTTCTTTTTTACTTGGTAATTTATTGCTAAGAGATAATGGGTTGGGCATCTTAGAGACTGGGAATTTGGTTTCTAGAATTTTTTTTTATAATAAAAATAGCTTCCAAAGTATTTTGCATCACTTAAAGAATTAACAACAAAATCAAGGAAGTACCTTTTAAACAACTCTTCCAAGACCTAAATATTAGTAATATATTTAACAGAAATATAGTTATAGAAATGTTATTATATTCTGTTAGAATATAGTAATATATTTCTATAATAAATTTTACAGAAATGTATCATTATATTCTAACAGAAAAAAGTTTATTGTTATTTGTATTACTCTCCATAATGCTGATTATGGAATTTAAAAGAAGTCCTGGTTGTTGAAATTCTAGGACTATTTTAAAATTATCTGCAAGATGTATTTCTAATTTTTTCTGACATATTAGCACCTACGTTAAGTGTGTACACATATTTGATTACTTTTACAATTTTATTTTAGATTCCCTGCATCAACTAAGAAAAGCATGTTTTCTTTATTTCAAACTTGGTGGCCAATGTGTTGCGGGTCCTGTTGGACTGCTTTCTGTGTAAGTTGTGATGGCACAGATGATACAGATCTGCCAGATTTTCTTACGACTTTTCAGTTGATGAATTACTGCAAATCTTTCTTCCTTACACATTTTGTCATTTTATTATCTTTTAGTATCCCGATGAGAAGGTAGCCCAAAGAAATGAAGAAAGGCAATATTTAGTACTGTTTTCTTTCTGGGGAACAGCAGTTAAAGGTGGTGGTAGAGGAAGCTATAACCCTTGATTAAAATAGAAGCTTGTTTTTTTGACTATGGATTTATCCATATGTTCTGATCTGTGAGAGGCAGGAATAACTGAAAATTTTTAATTTAAAAATTAGTTTCATTGAAGTACAGGGACTTATAAAACCCAGTTTTACTTCTGACAGTACAGACATATGTGGAACTGTTTTTGGAAAGTCTACAAAGTGAAATCATTCGAGTTATTTCTCATCTGCAAAGTGATCCTTTGAGTCATTTCTCATTAATCTATAATCTGAACATCAATACTGATATTTTTAAAAGCCCTACACCCCAACAGACCAGGCCATCTAGGTATTTCAGCATGGCATCTCAGGATGAGTAAAGAAAACAGCTAAAAATATATGACTTACGTAAATTGGAGTTACAGGAGTTACTAGCTTCCCTGAAAGGATACATTCTAAGTATTTTTTTTTTTTTTAAAGATTTACTCCTGCCATCATACTTAACTTTTAGACATAATTTTGTGAAGTCCTCTAAAATGTAAAACATTTGATACAGAATTATGGTGCTTGGGTAAAAAAAAAGTAGGATGTTTGTTGAGCTTCATAGATGATACGTAATTGGAACGTTTGGAGTCAATTTTAGTTGTGGATTCTTACCAGTGTTTTTTTCTGTTACAGATTGTCTCCTAACCCTCTCGTTCTAATTGGACACTTCTTTGCTGTTGCAGTATACGCCGTCTATTTTTGCTTTAAGTCGGAACCTTGGATTACAAAACCTCGAGCCCTTCTCAGTAGCGGTGCTGTCCTGTACAAAGCTTGTTCTGTAATATTTCCTCTCATTTACTCAGAAATGAAGTATTACGGTTCATTAAGCTTAAAGGGGAACCATTTGTGAACGAATATTTGGAACTTACCAAGTCCTAAGAGACTTTAGGAAGGGATATATATAGTATAGTACCATACACTTCTAAAGTGGAAACTCTTGGACCAAGATTGGGATTAATTTGTTTTTGAAAGTTTTTTGTATATAAATATGTAAATACATGCTTTAATTTGCAATTTAAAATGAAGGGTAAAATAAGTTAGATATTGAAAAGAAATGATTGTTACCATAAATTAGTGCTAATACTGAGGAACTTCAGTTTTTCTTTTGAATTTGTATCTGAGGTGAGTTGTTGGGAAATGCAAATAAAATGAAGGGTGAACTTTGGTGTCTTTTTGTTTCTTGTTGCGGACGCCTTTACATGGCTTCATGACAGTGAGAGAGAAAACCGAAGTGGGATGAAAGGTGCAGAGGGAAACGTGTTCTACTAAACAGCGCTGACCTTGGGGAAGCTGCCGTGTCTTGACCTGTTTTCCTCATCTGTCCAGTGAAGAAATTTGACACGGTTCTTTTCTTAAAAAAAAAAAAAAAAAAAAAACCTATTTATTTTATTGTGGGGCTGTGACTCAGATTTGAACCGAAAGGATCTTTGCTGAGTTCTGAAAATATCAGATTCCGACAGAAAAAGCAATTAAAGGCTTTATAAGTTACACTGTAACATTAATAAACCAGGCCAGGATGACATCAATAAACAGTGAGTGAATGAATACTTGTAATACCCGGCATAACACCTTAAGATCCATTAGAATTTACTGAGTATATCTATAGTTAATTTGAAGAGACTGGATATTCAAAGGGTATCACAAAAGTTCAGTAAATCTCCAAATATCTTGAAAGTAAATTGTTACCCCTGAAAGAGCAGTAAAATATAACCTGTCAAATTAAGTTATTACTTGAAATTCTAACAGTTAGGGCTAAAATAATTTATAAAGCTTTTACAGTAAAAATTTCAATTTTTAAATTCTTTCAGTTGAGAAAAATACCTCACAGGCCAAATCACTAGCAAAATCAGTTTCAAGCATCACAGTCTTCTTGTGGCAGAGCACATGGTGGACCCATTTGCTTGGTTTCATGAGACTCCTATCTAACTGACCCTAAACTTCTATTTTCTGGTTAAAAACTTACTTTCCTAGATGTGGCCTTTTTAGCAGTTAGCTTTCTTTTTAGAGAACTAAAGATCTCACTTCAAGCGGTTAATATTAACAAGATTACAAATGAAAAAGTTACCTTTGAGATACAGATGTTCCCACACACCAGCTCTGCAGCGGGTGAGACTTCCAAGCTCCCTACATACCAAGCAACATTTCCTTAAAATTCTGCCCTGGCTTAATGCCCTTGTGGCCAGGATTCGAGGCCTTCCTTGTTCTCCACTGAGACTCCTTTAAAATCCTTTCTACTATGACAGTGAAATAATCAAAGCCTGTAAAGTCTTTTCTTCCCTTCAATATCAGAATTTGAGGCCTTGAGACAAAAGAAGTAACATCGTAAAATGAGAAAACTGAAGGAACCTGAGAAATCCTTTAGTCTTAACCTTATAGATGATGCTAATGGGATGGCTTGCGACAAGGTGGAGCTTGTGGCAGAACCAGGACTCAAATTTTGTCTCCTGACCACAAATCAAGGCTTCTTTCCCCACCACTAGCAAAATGACTGTCTGTTAAAACAGATTTTAGCTTCCAGGTTTGGTTTGGTTTGTTCCTCTTCTCTCCAGAGGAGGACAGATTCAGGGTGGAAACATCTTTCTTGCTCTCATCCAAGTTGTTGATTTCCAAGCTGCCACAGTAGGATGGTAGTGACGGGGTTTGGTTCTGTGTCCCCACTCATATTCCTTCATAGCAGTGTGACAACAGACCGATACAGGCAGCTTCCTTTTCAGGGTCATTTTCATGCAGAAATGATTTAGGATTTCGAGGGAGTTAAGCTTATGGCAAGACTATTACCAAAAAGGCTTATGGATAATGATACAGTTCTGGGGACTTGGGGCAGGACTCAGGTTGCTGAGGAAGATACTGGAAGGAGAGCAGCTTTGTCAGGAAGTCCTATAGAAGGAATGCTGCGAAAAAAATCTCGGATTGGAAGAGGATGGAGAGACACCAAGAAACTTCCACGGTACATGACACAGATTGTGTGGCCACTACATTTGCTACTAGTCTGGCAATCACCACGTGCCTGCCAGCTTGTTGAGGGTGGGCTATCGTAACTAGCAGAATCATCGCTTAGCTTCCAAATAGGGGTTTTTACAGGGTGCATGTACAATTTTTGAATCATAAGCAGAGATGACTTTGGGTACTGGTAATACGATTTTACTGAAAATCTGGAGTTGCACAAATAGTTCTTTAGAACATAAAACTACATGGATTTATACATAACAGTTACAGTCAGCATTTATGAGCAGCAGTACAAAATGTTCTGCTTCTACATGATAGAAATTGCATGTAATATCATGATTTAAACAATATCAGTTGTATTGACTAATGCCATGAGATATATCTTAGAATGTCTGACGTTTCTGATAATGGAGGGCAAAAAACGCAGTTATATGAGCAACGGAGTTTCTTTTCATTTTCAAATTTGTCTTAGTGATGGTGGGAAGATCTAAGGACAATCCTTCCATTGAAGAAGTAGAAAAAAGTTACAGCACTGTTCTGAACTCATCAAAAATGAAGTTAGGCACGTGTGCTTCAGCAACCTGAAAAATTAAAAGAATTAAATTACTTATAGTGTTATATTTGAACAATTTCAAAATCTTTATACGAAAAAGAAAAGATATCCTTGGAGCAAGGTGAATTACAGGGAAGCGGAGACTCCCATGGGTGGACTACTCCTTGAAACAGCCCCTTTCTGTTTCCGGTGCCCTCTGGACTAGAGTCTCACTTCTTGGCGCTGCTAACATTTGAGGGGATGCAGTACAGCTCTCCCACCTCCAAACGTGAGCTCCTTGGCTCTGAAAGGCACCTCGATCTGCAAGGAATGTTCACACCTCTGGGAAGTACTAAGAAGTAAGTAGTCAGGTCACCTAATACACTTTATTAACTAATGGCCAACCAAGGAAAAACAAAATGTCTAGCAAGTGATGGGGCTGGAGAGGTAGGGGAGGGCAGGAATGAGACACCAAGGCCAGAAGGGGAAGAGCAGGATGGCCCTCAGAGGCATGCATTCCTGAACCGTTGTTAGGCAAAGCCCTGAGAAGACTAAATTGGGCTGAACTGGGTAAGTATGTAGAGCTAGGTGATCTCCAAGTCTGGAGATGAGTATTTTTTAGAAGCAGTGTTTAATTTTTTTTCTGATCATAAAGGTATCACCTGCTTATTAGAGGAAATTTAGAAAACGCAAAAGAGTATAAAAATTATTTTTACAGGGGGTGGAGGGCAAGGGGAGGGAGGGCATTAGGACAAACACCTAATGCATGTGGGGCTTAAAACCTAGATGACGGGTTGATAGGTGCAGTAAACCACCATGGCACATGTATCATACCTATACAACAAACCTGCACGTTCTGCACATGTATCCCAGAGCTTAAAATTAAAAAAAAAAATTTTTTTTTTTAAATCTTAATCCCTTAGAGAAAATAAAAACTGGTTAACTTTTGTATTGAATTCTTCCAGTTTACACACACACACACACATCAAAATTAGGATCACATATCGTGTCCTTCATTTCTGCTAAATGTTATATTATGAACATCCTTGTGCACATATCTTGGTGAACTTTTCACATATATCCAGCAGGTAAATTCATAGTAGTAGAATTGCTGGGATTGGGGTAAATATATTACAAATGTTTTTAAAAATAGATAAAGGTGGCTGGGTGCAGTGGCTCATACCTGTAAACCCAGCACTTTGGGAGGCCGAGGTGGGTGGATCATGAGGTCAGGAGATCGTGACCATCCTGGCAACATGGTGAAACCCCGTCTCTACTAAAATACAAAAAAATTAGCTGGGCATGGTAGCATGCGCCTGTAGTTCCAGCTACTTGGGAGGCTGAGGCAGGGGAATCTCTTGAACCCGGCAGGCAAAGGTTACAGTGAGCCAAGATTACGCCACTGCACTCCAGCCTGGCAACAGAGCAAGACTGTATCTCAAATAAATAAATAAATAAATAAATAAATAAAGCTAAATTGCCCTCCTAAAAAGCTGTTAATATACATATTGATTAACAGCACTGAGAAGTCCCATTTCTCCAAATGCTTCTAAGTAATGGGGGCCCAACATTTTACTTTTCACCAAGCTAATGGGTGGAAAGTCATTTTCTTATTCTTTGGATTTTTGTCCCTTGAATCTAAATGTTTGTCATTTGTATTTCTTTTCTTGAAAACTGCCTATTAATATCCTTGCCCTTATTCATCTTTTTACAACTGGTTCATTACTGTCGTTCGATTGTTCTAGGATCTCCACTCCTGCAACCTCCGCCTCCTGGGTTCAAGCAATTCTCCTGCCTCAGCTTCCGCAGTAGCTGGGATTACAGGTGCGCACCACCACGCCTGACTAATTTTTTCTATTTTTAGGAGAGACGGGCTTTCACCATGTTGGCCAGTCTGGTCTTGAACTCCTGACCTTGTGATCCACCCACCTCGGCCTCCTAAAGTGCTGGGATTATAGGTGTGAGCTACTGCACCCGGCCCACATTAACCCTTTATGTGTAATTACTTTTGATAACATAGCAGATGTAAAAGGGACTAAGTTGCTATTTTTTATCTGTGTGATGAACTTATATCTATTGACTAATATTCCTTTTCTCCCTTAATTTGAGACACTACTTTTCCTTATATACCATTGTATGCATAGGATTTGTTTCTAGGCTACATATTCTTGTTCATTATTCCTTCTATTTGGTTGCATACCAGTACCGGCCTATTTTGGTTTTTATAGTTTTACAATGTTTTAATACTTATATAATGTTTTAATTTCCTTTTTTAAAAGTATTTGCCTAAGTCCTATGAAATTTTAAAAAATATATTCTTTGAAGTTGAAAAAGTACCTGAAATCTTGATTGTAACTGCAGTAAAACTATAAACTAGAAAGAACTGTTATCTCTATAATATTCGAGGACCCTCATTCAGAAACATGGACTTCCAAATTTTACATTTAAAATTTTTATAGTTTTTAAATAAAGTGTTCTTTCATATTTCTTATAGAGGTTATTCTTAGCTTTATTATTTCCCTGTCATTTCTGTGAATAGGTCCTTTTTCACACTGTATTTTTTAACTGATTAGTGTATTTATTTTGTACATTTATTCTGTAGCCAGCATGTTTTCTGAACTCTGTATTATTTTAATAGTTTTTCACATGATTTTATTGGGTATTCAAGGGCAGACAGTTATCCAACAATACCACTACTGGGTATCTACCCAGAGGAAAAGAAGTCATTATTTGAAAAAGATACTTGCACATGCATGTTTATAGCAGCACAATTTACAACTGCAAAATTGTGGAACCAACCCAAATGCCTAACAATCAATGAGTGGATAAAGAAACTGTGGGATATACATATGATGAAATACTATGCAGCCATAAAAAGGAATGAATTGGCAGCATTTGCAGTGACCTGGATGAGACTGGAGACTATTCTTCCAAGGGAAGTAACTGAGGGATGGAAAACCAAACATCGTATGTTCTCACTGATATGTGGGAGCTAAGTCATGAGGACGAAAGGCATAAGAAAGACACAATGAGGCCGGGCGCGGTGGCTCAAGCCTGTAATCCCAGCACTTTGGGAGACCGAGGCGGGTGGATCATGAGGTCGAGAGATCGAGACCATCCTGGTCAACATGGTGAAACCCCATCTCTACTAAAAATACAAAAAAATTAGCTGGGCATGGTGGCGCAGTGCCTGTAATCCCAGCTACTCAGGAGGCTGAGGCAGGAGAATTGCCTGAGCCCAGGAGGCGGAGGTTGCGGTGAGCCGAGATCGCGCCATTGCACTCCAGCCTGGGTAACAAGAGCGAAACTCCGTCTCAAAAAAAAAAAAAAAAAAAAGAAAAGAAAAGAAAGACACAATGGACTTTGGGAACCTGGGGGGAAGTATGGGAGGGGACGAGGGATAAAAGACTACAAACAGGGTGCAGTGTATACTGTTCGGGTGATAAGTGCACCAAAATCTCATGAATCGCCACTAAAGAACTTCTCACATAACCAAATACCACCTGTACCCCAGTAACTTATGGAAAAATAAAACAAAAAAGGAAGACAATTATATCTCACATAATAGTCTTTTTTCCAAAGTGCATTTCATTTTCATTTCATTTCTTATGGTCTCGCACCTATATAACAAAAGTCGTTGCAAGAGTGTGTATCATTGTCATGTCACTGTGACAGTCCTGGTTTTAAGGGGAATGCCACTAGCATTTCGCTATTAAGTACTAACATTGCTAGTTAATTTTAAAAGTGTATCTTTGGCTCGTGTTGTAAGAAAGTATCTTTGATTCCTAATCTACAAATATTTAAAAATCAGAAATGATCTTCAGTATCTACTCAAAGTCTTTTATATGTCAGTATCGAGCTCTCTACTTTGAGATAAATTTAACAAAGTGGAATTACTAATGAGAAGTGAAGAGGAAAGAATGTCTTAGCAGGTAAAAGGTAGCCTGTCATTTTTGGAAACAGTAGTCACATGCGTCTACTTGTGGCATGAACTCGACTGTACTTGTTGTGAGAACCAGGCCAGTGGAGAGAGAAAGAACGAACCACACACCATTCTTTCTCTCCCCTGGCCACTTACGGAACTCTCTCCTGGCTTGCCCATTTCACTTAACTCCTGAACCGGGTGAACTGCTGATGGCAGTACATGGAGGAGTGGAAGACGGTGGGGAGGGGCATTGTGTTAAACTCTGCAAGGCATTTCCCATGGTGGAAAAGGCAGGGGCATTTCAGCGCTGGGGGCAGAGCAGTGACAACAGGTGCAGAGGCATCTGCTGTGAATGGCGCACTGGACTTCACTCCCAGTGAATCCAGGCCCACTATTATTATCATCTTTTTACAACTGGGCAATTACTATTATACTTTCTTTTGAGATGGAGTCTCTGTAGCCCAGGCTGGAGTGCAGTGGCACAATCTCGGCTCACTGCAACCTCCGCCTCCTGGATTCAAGCAATTCCCTGCCTCAGCCTCCCAGGTAGCTGGGATTATAGACACCCACCACCACATCCAGCTAATTTTCATATTTTTAGTAGAGACAAGGTTTCACCATCTTGGCCAGGCTGGTCTGAAACTCCTGACCTCGTGATCTACCCACCTTGGCCTCCCAAAGTACTGGGATTACAGTTGTGAGTGAGCCACAATGCCCGGCCAATATTGTTCTGTATTATCTATCACTTACCCTCCTGGGTAGCTTTGTGTACCGAACATAATCCTCCAGGAACAGAAGCGCACCCACAACATCTGCAGGTATTTCAGGTAGCTTCTGGCTGTAACAGATAAATCAATTAACTGCTCTGCACATGATAAGCTCTTGGTCAGAATACTGAAAGACTAAATTACCAACAGATTATCTCATGAAGTCAAAGATGAACAAAAACAGTAAGCATGCTGTTGATTCCCATCAAGTCATTAACCTTGCTCACATATTTTCAGGAGCTTACCCTATAGGGTAAATGTGAGCTTCTCTATATGGTTTACGTGGGCCTTTACAACATGGTCCCTGCTATCTGCCCAGACTCATCTCCCTCTGTTTACATGATTCAACACCTAGCAGGTCCCATAGTTTCCCATCCCTGCACTCTGATTTGAAAGTAAATTTCTAGACATTGTTCGAGTCCCAGGTTGGGGACTTCTTCTCCTGTGGGATCCTCCCTGATTCTCCGGGGCTCTCATAATACTTAGTAGCATTCTCCAAGCCTCTGATTTTTTCAATTGTGTGCTGGCTTCCCGACAAGAGTATCAACTCCTCAAGGGCCTGGGTCATGTGTCCATCTTCGTATCTCCAGCATCTGGAATTGTGCCTGGCATGTCCTGCTTATTTGAGGGTATCAAATAAATAGAGCGTCTAGCAATTTTTCATATGGGATTTTACTCATGTATTCATTTATTCAGCAACTGCAGTCCCAAGGACTATCCCAGAACTGGAACACAAGCAAAGTAGATGCCAGTCTCTTTATAGAGCTAATGTTCCCTGTTGTTTACATCAAAATGAGTTTTTAGGTGTTAAAACTATTTCCAACTTCTGTACCAACTGGCATTTTCTAATGAACAAATAATTTTTGGTACTATTAATAGATTACTGGTTAATTTCGCTGATGAATTGTTGCCTTTGGAAGGGTTAAGAGTGACTGCACCTAGAAACGTTCTCTCTGCTCTCAGTCTTTCTGTCTGTGACCAGGGCTGTATTTGCTCTGCTTGGAGCAAGAGAAAGGATGGAGCCCCCATGCATCACAGGTTCCTTGGGTTACTTAGCTCTGCAGATTAAAAAGCCTGAGCCACAGCTGGTCTCCTGTAGCCTGATCACTACCCTCATGGTTGCCAGTAACATGCTGAATCACACTTAAGCCTTAACTGCCATTAGTGAAAAAGAAATAGAATAAGGACCTGTCCAACTTGACAAGCAGGGAGCTATGACTGGGATAGCCAGTTGTGTGGAGGTTACTGGCTAATCATCCCCATACAACCTGACCTGGAGTCCTTCGCCTCCTCTCCAGGATCCTGAGCCAGATGCGCTAGGTTTATATGAGCCTACTGCTTTCCTTGTCAACTGATCTCACTTTGTGATTGTTACAATTTCATTTTTGAGATTTTATCTTTGAATTCTCTTCTATTTTTCAATTGTTAAAAACTATGGTTTTGAAGTGAGTCCAAACATATATCCCAGGAAAACACCAGTGTTTGTTGTTCAGTTCATTAACTAAGATGAGGAGGAACTAGCCTGATGGCATCTCATGGGAGGAAGAAATACTGGAATTTAGAAAGAATACAAAGTCAGTATGAGCCACTGGTGTGCACTGGATGTCAAGAAGCCATCACTGCAGAGCCGAGATCCCTCCACTGCACTCCATCCTGGGTGACAGAGCAAGACTCTTTCTCAAATAACAACAACAACAAAAACCCCACCATTGCAATTACAGCTGCTCTACTGTCCACAGAGGGCCCAGAAAGAAGAAGTGTAATACCCCTCTGTGCCAAGGGGAGGGCTGTGCTTGGAATCTCACTATAAGTTTGGGAAGCCACATTTTAAGATTGTCAATAACAGACTGGAACACCCAGAAGAAGTCACTCACTATGGTGAGTAGCCTCTAAACTGCAACACATCAGGAAGAGGTGGAAGGGGCTTATCTAAACAAGGAGAAGACCTAAGACAGATGGCATACCAAATTGGAAGTAACGTTGCAAAGGAGGTAGACTGTATTTATTCCGTATGATTTCAAAGGGTAGAGAAAAGCTCAGTGAGTAAAATATCCAGAGATGTAGGCTCTAATAATCACAATCGGGAACTTTCTAATGAGAACCACACTTAGCCAGTGAACTGTGCGGCCTGGAGAGGTAGCAAGAGCCCCATGGGTGAGTGTTCCAGCACCAGCTGGATGACGACATGTCAAGAATGTCTTAAAGCTCACTCATGCACTTAGTGGGAGGTCAATTAAATGACCTCAAAAATCATTTCCAGTTCTAGGAGTCAGTAGTATTTTGTGTGGACTTAGATTGCTTTTATTCATTTTATTTATTTTATTTTTTTTGAGATGGAGTCTCACTCTGTTGCCCAGGCTGGAGTGTAGTGGTGCAATCTCGGCTCACTGCACCCTCAGAGGCCTCCTGGGTTCAAGCAATTCTCCTGCCTCAGCCTCCCGAGTAGCTGGGATTACAGGTGCCCACCATCACACCTGGCTAACTTTTGTGGGGTTTTTTAGTAGAGACAAGGTGTCACCATGTTGGTCAGGCTAGTCTTGAACTCCTAACCTCAAGTAATCCACCCACCTTGGCCTCCCAAAGTGCTGGGATTACAGGCTTGAGCCACTGTGACCAGCTGCTTTAACTAGTTTTTTAAGTTATAGTGGCAAAAATGACCAAGTGGACATGACAGAAAAGGTTATTTAGCCAGGCTGACACTTTAGGATAGCAGAGAAGGAGGCTCAGGACCCAGCATCTCATGGAAATAACTTTTTTTTCTTTATCCCAGAAAAGCCACATTTAGGGGCAGGGAGAAAGAACCGGCAGGAATTAAAGCTTTATAAGTACTGTATCAAATAGCGACTCTTGTGAAATTTGCTTCTCTACAGGCAGACACTGCCCAGGCTTGACACTGACATGTTCTATGACTCCCACTGGAGTGGAACCATCCCAGCAGGAGTTCAGGGTCTCGCTGAGATGGAAGAACTGGATGCAAGAGGGCAGAGGAACAGGGCTACAGTTCCTTCCCATGGCAGTTACTAATCATAGTCCTGAGTCACTCCTGGAAAATCACTGGGAGTATACCTAATGGAGTTCCCCTGGCAAGGTGACTAAGGATGGGCACAGCTATAATTGCTCTAAACAAGGAGATATGCCCTGACTTGCTTTACAGAGAAGGGTGAGCAACCATTTCCCAGCTCTATGAAGGCAATTAAGAAAGGGAATTTGGCAATGTGAGGTTTAAGTTAGGTTTTGTGACATGAAGTCCCCTGTAGTCACGGCTGGTCTTCTGTACCTCGTACACTGCTCCACCGTGGAGCAGATGAACTGACCGATCAGTGCCAGGAACTGCTCGGTGTACCGGGAATGGAACTGCTTCAGCAGAGTGAGCAGTCCCAGAACAAGCGGCGGCCAGTCGACCGGGTCGGTTGGTTTTCGGCAGACCATCCCTGCAAGGGAACAAATTGCAACAGCACATGAATATTAATTATTGACATATTAAATGTTAACGCTGGGAAGGTCAAAATGTTTGGGGCCCATATCCTCACTGGCAGATGATTTTTTGGAAGGAATGACAACTCTGGGCCAGATTTTGAATTAGCCGCAGGACTGGTGGGGCATTCCAGTGGTCTGAAGGATTCAAAACCAATAAAACAGTTACTAAATTTTGTAATTATCATTACTGGTTCTTTTGAATTATTCAATTAACATATACTATTGTAGCAAATTTTAAAGATATAGATAAACGCAAATTAGAAAAAAAAAATCACTGTAACTGACTTCTGTTAACAGTACCATGACATAATATAATAGATACCCTGGACTACTATCTTAAGTGAAAAGCTGGATAAAATATTTTTAGAGTATCCTTAAACAAATATTGAGTATTTTATATATAATATATAAATATAAATAGATATATTACATATATTTTTATATATATAATAAATAATATTTATTAATATAAATATATAATCTATATTATTTATATATAATCTATATTATTTATATATATATAAAAGAATCTGCAGAAGTCAAGACAGTGAAAGAAGGACAGTCACAAAGTGAATGAGTATCAAAGCTGACCTTTACACTAAAGATTTTTTTTAATTGGAGATGGGATCTTGCTACGTTGCCCAGGCTGGAATACAGTGGCTAGTCACAGGTGCAATCATAGCACAATATAGCCTTGAATTCCTGGGCTCAAACAATGCTACTGACTCTCAAACAATGCTACTGCCTCAGCTTCCAAGTAGCTGGGACTACAGGTGTGTACCACTGTACCTGGCTCTACACTAAATATTTCTGCTGAAATGTGGAGACCCTGAAGTCTGCCTGGATGACTGCATGGGAAACCACACAATGTTGAAAAAGAATAACGTCGGAAGACTTAGGTTGTCTGATTTCAAGCTCTCTATACAGTTTCAGTAATCAAGACACTATGGCATAAGAATAGACAAATAGATCCATGGAACAAAATAGAGAGTTTAGAGACAGTCCCACCCTCATATGAGTAATTGAATAGCCATAAATATACCAAATAATTTTTAAAAAGATAAATCTTTCAATAAATGGCACTGAAACTGGATAGCCTTATAGGGGAACAATAAACCTTGACCCCTACCTCACACTGTACACAAAGAACAATTAGAGATGGACCACTGACCTCAATGTAAAAGCAAAGTCTACAGAACTTTTAGAAAAAATATTGAAGATATCTTTGTGATCTTGGAGAAGACAGAGATTTCTCTTTTTCTTGAGGCGGAGTCTCACTATGTCGCCTAGGCTGGAGTGCAATGGTGCGATCTTGGCTCACTGCAACCTCTGTTTCCCAGGTTCTAGTGATTCTCCTGCCTCAGCCTCCCGAGTAGCGGGCATTACAGGCACATGCCACCATGCCCAGCTAACTTTTGTATTTTTAGTAGAGATAGGGTTTCACTATGTTGACCAGGCTGGTCTCAAATTCCTGACCTCAGATGATGCTCTCATCTCAGCCTCTTAAAGTGCTAGGATCACAGGCATGAGCCACTGTACCCAGCCTGGGAGATATTTCTTAGACAAGATCAAGAGAAATAATTATAAAGGAAAAAAATGAACAAATTGGACACTGTCAACAGTAAAAACTTCTGCTCATTGAAGTTACCAGTAAAAAAAAAATACATAGATAAGCCACAATTTGTGAGAAAATATTCTCAAAACATATATCTGCCGGGCGCGGTGGCTCAAGCCTGTAATCCCAGCACTTTGGGAGGCCGAGGCGGGTGGATCATGAGGTCAAGAGATCGAGACCATCCTGGTCAACATGGTGAAACCCCGTCTCTACTAAAAATACAAAAAATTAGCTGGGCATGGTGGTGCGTGCCTGTAATCCCAGCTACTCAGGAGGCTGAGGCAGGAGAATTGCCTGAACCCAGGAGGCGGAGGTTGCGGTGAGCCGAGATCGCGCCATTGCACTCCACCCTGGGTAACAAGAGTGAAACTCGGTCTCAAAAAACAAACAAACAAACAAAAAAAACATATATCTAACAAAGAACTTGTATCCATAATATATACATAACTCCTACAACTCCGTAATAAGGGGGCAAACCCAGCCTGGCCAACGTGATGAAACCCGTCTCTAATAAAAATGCAAAAATTAGCTGGGCATGGTGATGCACACCTATATCCTGTAATTCCAGCTACTCAGGTGGCTGAGGCAGAACTGCTTGGACCTGGGAGGCGGGGGCAGCAGTGAGCTGAGATTGCACCACTGCATTCCAGCCTGGGTGACAGAGTGAGACTGTCTTAAAAAAAAAAAATGGCTAAAATGAAAGTGACTGATGCCACCAAATAATGTTGAGGATGTGGAGTATACATATACTCACTCTTGGTGAGAGTTTAACTGGCACAACCACTTTGAACAAAGGGTTGGCAGTTTCTTATCAAGTTAACTGGTTAGACAGACCCTCAGATCCCATATTTGGGTTCTTGTGAAGACTGGGAAATCTCTTCCCCAAACCAGAGAGGCCTAAACAGGTGATCCTGAATTACGTAACGTAGGCCTTGGCAATTCAGAAGATGTAGGAATAATCCTAACAGGACTCAGTATGGAAAAAGAATCCGTGGCCAGGTGCGGTGGTTCATTCCTGTAACCCCAGCACTTTGGGAGGCCAAGATAGGCGGATCACGAGGTCAAGAGCTGTAGACCGTCCTGGTCAACATGGTGAAACCCCGTTTCTACTAAAAAAAATACAAAAATTAGCTGGGAGTGGTGACGTGCACCTGTAATCCTAGCTACTTGGGAGGCTGAAGGAGGAGAACAGCTTGAACCCAGGAGACAGAGGTTGCAATGAGCTGAGATCATGCCATTGCACTCCAGCTGGCAACAGAGCGAGACTCCCTCACAAAAAAAAAAAAAAAAAAAAAAAAAAAAAAGAATCCTTTCCAGGTGGAAAGCAAAAGTGATGTTAACAACAAACACCAGGCCCAGTATGCATTTCTTAGGTCAGTCTTGAGAACAGTGTTTATAAGGTTAAATACATGTTTTTAGGATATACAGTTTCAAGGTTCTCTTTATAGTTTTGATAATCAAGACAGTACTGGCATAAGAAAAGATAAACAGATTAATGGAACAGAATAGAGAATCTAGAGGCAGTCCCACCATTATATGAGCAACTGAATATCCACAAAGATACCAAACAATTGTTCCTTCCTCAGTCCTACTGTAATTTAGTTCCTACATTAACACATCAGTCTTACTGATGAGAAGAATTAGTCAGTTATAAATACCACATTTCTAGGATACTTAAAGGTTTTGTTGTGTTACGTTTTAAGATCTGGGAATTCCATGGAGTGCGCTACTTTCCATAAGCAGCTTTACAATCAAGGTGCCAGACGCAGGCCTTGGCAATTCAGAACATGGAGGAATAATCCTAACAGGACTCTGTATAGAAAAATAATCCTTCCTAGGTGGAAAGCAATGAATCATATACACAATGAAAAAAAATATTATCTTAGAATGAGAATAGTTAACAAAGAGTTATTCTTTAATGAAAGGAAGATTCTTTCTGTACTGACAATTCTTCATTATCAAGAATCATATATTCCTATTGAATAATAACATAAAGAGAACAGAGAGAGAACATAAATCTCTGAATCTTGAGATGAACCTTTACATTATGCTTGGGATGGTCCTTTCAATTTATTTTGGCCAATATTTAGAAAGGGACTCAATACCTATTGGGCACTCACTTTGCGGGTAACTTGGCCAAAGTAACATAGTGGTGGGGCCAGAATCCAAACACATATTTGTTCCCTCCCTCCTACAGCAAGTATTTATTGAGGAGATCATTCCCTACCTCCTGTGACAATCACAGGCATTGTCATGAAACCTCTAGAATCAATGACTACTTTTGAATGAGAGAATAAAAACATTAAAGAGATTCCACATTTTCACCCTGAAAAAGCTTATGAAATAGGAAAGCACTATAAGGAAGAAACATATTTAGGAATCTCTAGTTAAGAAAAAATAACGATTACATTTGTAGAAATATTCTTATAATGTTTTTTAAATTAAATTAAAGTCTATAGTGGATTTTTAAAAAATTCATTCAGTTAGATACAAAGTTTGAAGGCAGAGGAAACACTTGCATACCTATTATGTAACTACAAAAATATTCTGACCAATGACAAAAATAAATTAGGGTTATATTCCTGGAGAATGAAAGCCTTTGGTGTCTCTTGTTTGTACTGAGTATTTTGACATATAATCATACATAAAATATTAGATGTTTGCATATTCATATTAGTCTCATGTCCTTAATGATATTGTTACTTTTCCCATCATGGTTCCAGAATACACAGCTGGCACATGCATCTAAGAACAGAACATCAACCAAAAGAAGTTTCCTTTATTCCATCATTAGCTACCTAACCATTAAAGAAGAGAATCAAAACAAAGATCCCTCACATTCTATAACCTGGACAATGAATCCTTACCAAGGTGTACCATATTTTAAACCCTTATCATGGTGGCTTATGCCTATAATCACAGCCCTTTAGGAGGCCAAGGCAGGTGGATCGCATGAACCCAGGAGTTTGAAACCAGTCTGGGCAATATGGCAAAATCCTGCCTCTACCTTAAGATAAAAAAAAACTAGCTGGGCATGGTGGTGTGCGCCTATATAGTTCCAGCTACTCAGAAGGCTGACATGGGAGGATTCTTGAGCATGAGAGGTCGAGGCCATAGTGAGCTGAGACTGTACCACATCTGAGTGACTAAATGAGATCTGGTCCAAAAAATAAATAAAACAAAATAAATAAGTATACTTAAAAAAAAAATAAATGTAGTCGGGTGTGGCTGCTTATACCTGTAATCCCAGCACTTTGGGAGGCTGAGGTGGGTGGATCACCTGAGGTCAGGAGCTTGAGACCAGCCTGGTCAACATGGTGAAACCCTGTTTCTACTAAAAATACAAAAAAATCTGCCAGGTGTGGTAGTGCACACCTGTAATCTCAGCTACTTGGGAGGCTGAAGAAGGAGAATCGCTTGAACCTGGGAGGCAGAGGCCGAGACTGCACCACTGCACTCCAACCTGGGCAACAAGAACAAAACTCCATCTCAAAAATAAATAAATAAATAAAAATAAATCCATCATCTACAGTTCATAAAAGGGCATCATATTTCAGAAGCATAAAGACTTGAATTTCATAAACACAAATTTAACTTAAGAAAAGATCTCATAGTTGACATAGGCATTCTATACAAAAAGCTTTTTAGTTAGATGTAAATCTGCTGGTAGTGTTACTCACCGCAAAGAATAAATGTCATACGTACCTAAATTTTTGGTGTACTGAAGTTTTGGCAACTGAGCGATCAAAAATAGGAAGTTGACAATTGGAAAATAGGGTAAGCGCTTTGTTGTTATGTATATCTGGAAAGAGAAAGGTAAGAAAAATGGATGGTTAATTCATACTGCACAGTACCACAGAACAGGTTTCCAAGTGAAAAGCTTCAATTTTACTTCAATTTGCTCTTCGGCCTTCCTGAAACATGGATGGTTCCATTCATTTGCTGCCTTCAGAGTTTTATTTAACACACCTGGCCCTACTCACATAAATACCTGTATCACAGTTTGCCAGAAACAATTTTGCTTAGAGTGACATTCCCCCTGAATCCTGTTAATGTCACTAATAAAGAGAGGGAGGAATGAGTGATCAGCAAGAATGGGAGGGGAAGGCAAAATGAAGAGCAGTGGAGGCAGAGCTGGAGGGGAATTCCGGGGGAGTGCAGGCGGAGGAAGAGGAAGGAGAGATGGAAAGAAGGAAGGTGAGGAGGACGAGGGAGAGTGAAGGGAAAAGATCTGTGTAGCAGTGGGTGGTGGTATCTAAGCAGAAAGAGAGCAAAATTCTTCTTTGTCATCTGCTGTCCCCTGGGCAATGGGCAATGTCACAGAGCAGTCTCTCTTTCAGATATCACAGCAGAAACTATAGTCAGGGAGTACACAGCCAGGTCCAGACTCCCTGCTGGCTGATTCCACAGCAGACAGGGTAGCACACGGGTCAGGAGCACGGGCTCTGGTCAGACTGTCTGGCTCCTCCACTTGCTACTTAGCTTCTGATCCTCAGGTTCCTCACCTCATAATGGCATCTTTCACAGGGGTTGTTGTGAGATTAAGTGAGATAATCCATGATGAGGGTTAACAGAGTACACTTGTTATGTAGTAAATATTCAAGACATTAGCTACTATTCAGGTTTATAATTTTTTTTTTTTTTGAGGTGGAGTCTGGCACTCCCGCTGCCTGGGCTGGAGTGCAATGGTGTGATCTCAGCTCATTGCAACCTCTGCCCTCTGGGTTCAATGTGATTCTCCTGCCTCAGCCTCCAGAATTTCAAATTTTATAGATTTTAGAAAGATAATATAGGGGATAGGGTGATGCACTATAATCAAAGTCACTATAATCAAAGTCTGCATCAAAACATTTGAATGTTTATAGAAAGGAAGATAAATAGTATAAACAGCCTTATGTCAGCATCAGGACAGATTTTGCCACCCAAAGAGATCTGGCACCGAGTTATGAAAAACTTTCAGTTCTTAAAGGTTTTCTAAGCTCAGAACTGCAGGAAAGAGTTTGTAGCTCCTATGATGACTGGGATTAGTGGCAGCCCCAAGGGGAAGCACCTCTGGGCAAGACGGGTCAATGCTACCATTTTGGGTTTGCTGGGTCTTGATGACTGAACTGCAAACTCCAGTGAAACCCAAAACTAATCTCTTACACTGATGCAGCACTTTTCGCTTTGTCAGGAGCTTTCACTAGCGCTATCGCACTTGACTCTCACAGACCTGAGCCAGGCGGGAAATGTGATGATTGCTTAGAAAGGGGAGGGAACCGAATGGAATGAAGGCTCTGGGGTCTGAACCCAGGTTCTCCTGGTATCTCTGCCCAGTGATCTGTTACCTGGGCTAAATCCCCTTTGCACCATTCTGTTCCCCTACCCCTACCATTATATATTTCAATTATTCACCTTATTCAGTGGGTTGTGAATGCCAGCTGCTTCCAGATAAGCTGTGATTTCATATAAAAGTGTGTTGTCTTCTTTGGGATAAGGAAGTGAAGGGTCCTGATAGTGGGCTTCAATGTCTGCTAGGAGAGCCCTAAACGAAGAAAAACCCCAGAGATAAACATTAGTGATTAAATAAATTTAAACAAGAGTTAATTCAGGCCAATGATGTAATCTTTTCAAGCCTCAGTTTCCTCATCTGTAAAATGAGAGTTTGATCCCCTTAATTCTCAATCCATGCCTGTGATTAGTTTGAAGTGAAAAATTTGACCTAGAATTACTTTATCTTTTGGAATCAACCTCAATTAAATGCATTCACCTGTTCAAATTTTCATGAATTGACTGAACTGTTCTTAATACCTGCTTTGTCAAAAGCACTGACTTAGTGAGTGAGAAGCAGGGATTATTTATCTGTAAGTAGGCAGCCTCAAATGACAGCAGGTTGCTGGTGAGGCGGAGGATATGAGTTCCCTCTGGGACAGGCCTCCGTAACCACTTGTGGTAATCAACATACTTCCAACTGCCCTCCGGATGATGAGTGATCAGCCCTGTAGAAAGCCAGTTGTAGATTTTGGTATTAATTGCTTTCTAAAATCTGTGCAAGTATGTAGCAGTGTCTGGTGTGTCTCTCACTCACTCTCTCTAATGGATTCATTTATTCAGCTGACATGTATTGAATCATGTGATCAGTAAATGTCAGCTGAATAAATGAGTCCGTTAGAGAAAGTGAGCGAGATACAGAGATACTGTACACGGAGAGGACAATAATGAGGAAAGAGGCTCCTAAAGACAGATTTGATTATCCATTGGCAAGGAAGCCTATAAATTCAGACCTCTCACCTAAAAGTAACTTAAAAGAGTAAGAACTGTGCTTAGTTGATGAACAATCCAAGCCCACAGATGGCTGTTTCAAACGCTGGCACTTACTTATTGAGATTCTCCAGAGCAGCTGCCAGATGTTTAGAGTCAAACCGACAAGAATAATTTAATTCATTGGCAATCTGCTGTCTCAGAATCTGCATCTGCCCAACCTGTGCACAAGCAAGAGAAAGAACAGGTAGTATATTCAAGCATTTCAGAGTGACAGTGAGGAGGTAAACACAAAGATGGTAATTCTTCTCTGGGCCTTCACAACACTCTACGGAAAAAAAAAAATAAGGATTTCCTGGACTGATCTCTTGGCTAAGACTAGCACTGGACGTGATGGAGTACCAGAGGCCCTTCAAGGAATGTCTGGATGGACTCCCATACCCCAACCTCAAAATACTCCTAAAGTCTAGATTAACAAAGTGATCTATTAATGTTCAGTTGTTCATGTATCAATGGTGTCTTTTTTGAAGCTGTATTTTTCACTTTTTGGAATAAGTGCTCCACGTTTAGTAGCTGCTGTGAGAAACCTTACTTCCTTCTTTACCCTAAATGGAACTTTCTCAAGTCCTAAGAATGCCACTAGACCTCAGTATTCTCAAACTGGGTGAATATTAAGTCTGTCCATGCCACTGAGGATTATAGGTTATATAATTACCTGGATTACAAAATAATCTACATAAAATCTTTCATGAAAATTTTAACAATGATAGCCCCTTAATCCAGGGGTTCTTATATTTTATATCTGATATGGTTTGGCTATGTCCCCACCCAAATCTCATCTTGAATTGTAGTTCCCATCCTATGTGTTACGAGAGGGACCCAGGGGGAGGTAATTGAATCATGGGGGCAGTTACCTCCATACTGCTCTCATGACAGTGAGTTCTCATGAGATCTGATGGTTTTATAAGGGGCTTTTCTCCTTTTGCTCATACTTCTCTTTCCTGCTGCCATGTGAAGAAGGACATGATTGCTTCCCCTTCCACGGTGGCTGTAAGTTTCCTGAGGCCTCCACAGCCACGCTGAACTGTGAGTCAATTAAACCTCTTTCCTTTACTCAGTCTTGAGTATGTCTTTATTATGTGAGAATTGACTAATATAGCCTTGGGCCCCTTTGGGAATCTGGTGAAGCCTATGGATACCATTTCAGAATAATGCTTTTGAATGTACAAAATAAAACAATAGAGGGTAACACTGGAAGCCAATTGTAATAAAATATAATTAACCATTCAAAAAACAAATCTATGATACAGAGTTATGCTAACATGGTGGATTAACTATGGTAATTTAAAAGTAGCTATGAGCATAAATGATATTTGGAGATTATCTACAATGGTTGGATGATAGGAAGCGATCTTTGGGTCAGGGCTGAGAGAGTTCAGTTTGACCCCATAATGTTGTCTACATCATAAGGTCAATAGCAAACTCTAACTTTTTCTGCCTATAAATGTCTTATTTTCTACTCTAGACAAAGTATTCCTGAAAGACTGGCAAAGGGGAGTGAGGGAGTAGGGGAGAGGAGGGAAGCCAGTATTATCATGCAAGCACAATAAGGTGGAAATAAACATATTTCCTCTGAGTTGCTGGGGGCAGAGAAGAGTTAAGGAAAAGACAGTGGCTAACGCCTGTAATCCCAGCATTTTGGGAAGCTGAGGCAGGCTGATCACCTGAGGCCAGGAGTTTGAGACCAAGCCTGGCCTAAATGGTAAAACCTGTCTCTACTAAAATTATAAAAATTAACTGGGTGTGGTGGTGGGTGCCTGTAATCCCAGAATCCCAGGTACTCGGGATTGCCTGAACCCAGGATGTAGAGGTTCCAGTGAGCCAAGCTTGTGCCACTGCACTCCAGCCCGGGTGACAGAGCAAGACTGTTTCAAAAAAAAAAGAAAAGAAAAGAAAAAAAGAGTGGACTTCTCTAAGAGTGAACAAAAGTTATTTAGCTGAATGGAGCTTGTAATGGTCAAAAGTGTTAAATGACCTCAGATGTATTATTTTTCACCACTATTCATACATTTTATTCTACTTATGTGAAAAATGTCAATCCAAAAATGCTATTTATAAGAATTCTTTAAATTTAGAGAGTAGCATTATTAAAAAATTAGAATGCAGCAAAGCGAAGAAAATAGTAGGTTCTTTCAGGTTATGTAAAAATGACCCAGAAACCCTGCATCTGACCCATATAATTCTTTGCTTAATTTTTTATGTCTAGTATACTCTATGTCAAGGTCCTCTTGAAAATATCAATCTAGAACTGGAAATAGAAATAAAGTCAGCTTAATATAACTTGTTCTCGTTTAACGCACAATCAGTCTTTGTGAGTGACATTTTCCATTTTTGGTACTCACAAACTTCAAGCTTTAATAAGCTGTGGAGAGGCTAAGGAGCCTGGGATGGACGAGAAACTTATTTTACCTACTCACTTGCCTCTTTGAAGATATCTGGCATACCATTCTTTCTCCAAGACTTTTCTAGAGTTGCACTGTTGAGTATAGCAGCTACTAGTCACATGTGGCTATTTACATTTAAATTAATAGGAAATAAAATTAAAAATTGTGTTTCCCAGTCCCACAACCCACATTTTCACGAGCTCAACAGCTAGACAGCGCCAGGAGCTGCTGTCATCATCAAATAGCACAGAACATTTCCATTGTCGTTCCTGATCATTAACACTGGCTCAGTGACTGCAAGCACCCTAATTCAAGACAAAAACACAAATTTGTCCTTGGGGCCTTTATTTAAAGACCACTGACTCAGACACAGTCACGTGGCTGTAACTAATTACTGGCAACTATAACCAATAAGGGTCTGTAACTGGACTGAGAACCTCTCAGCTACTGGACTGAGAACCCTCTGGTGGACAAGGGGAAAATCTTCCAGTTTCTTGGAAGAATCCCTGTAATTCCCCTAATGTCTCCTACAGAGTTGGGACTCACAACTGTCCAAACTTGGGTGATTTTTTATTCCTCCTAAAACGTTTTCCAGCAATTAGAAACTTGGCCTGGGATTCGCTCAATATGTGACAATCACGAGGCGAGGGGAAGGCAGACTCACATCACCAGAGGACATCTAGCAGAGCCACGGGCTCCTTGCCTTACCCGTTCTGTTTAGTGATCCAAATAACAAGAACAATAACAAAAACTACTCACCAAAATTATGGGAAATATATTGTGAATGTGGCTGAGGTATCAATGAGTGCTGTCTCAACGAAACTTACATAACTGGGAATCAGAGAATGGAACTTTTCAAAATTCCCTTAGCATTCTAGAATTCTAGACTTTTTTACAGTATGTGATACTTTTAACTGCAAATCAGTTTTCCACCTGAAGTCTACTCTTTTCTACTGGATGGTGAGTTGCTTTCTGAGGAGACCAGTTGTGTTTCATTTAACCCTGTCTCTCACAACAACTGACAATGCTCTGGGTTTAATGGATGTGTGAGAATGGGTTGCTGATGATCTCAGATCATCAGATGATAAGAGAAGACTCACAGAAGATGCAGGGGTCTCTGGGAGCTCTTGTCACTGAGTAAAGGCAAGAAAGTAGGTGGCTGGATTCTAAAATAAGTCCGATTTCCTCCCAGCAAATTAATCTCTTCATTTGTGTTTCTTATTCATTTCCAAAGTAAGAGTGCTTTATGCATAGTATAAGGATAATTTATGCCCCAAAGAACCTGGCTTCCTAACAACCATGCAGACACAAGACGGGAGAGAGACAATGTTCTTTGCTAACAGCAGCCTGGAGCAGATGAGATAAATGAACTTGTTATATACGGAGGGAGTACTACTGTGTAAGGAAAAGTTCCATTTTCATATATAAAAGCACCTCTAGCCAAAAGGTATTTTACAATGCCAGTTTTCTTGAACAAAAGGAAAATGCTAGGCTTCTAAAAAGCCTAGTCAAGGAACAGCTCCAGAAAGGGATATAAACAAAATAAATTTTAAAATAATGAGTAACTGAAGTATGAAACTACTTTTATTTAATGACAAAAGAAAGAAGAGTAGCTTTCTTTGGGCAACAAAGTTACAAGAAATTGAAAAACTAAAAAATGTAAGTATTGACGGTCACCCTCTCTCCCACAACATACCTTCATTATAGCTTCAAGGTATGCAGTCCAAATCTTCTGTGTTTTGGCAATAGCGGAAAAATAAATTTTATTTGAATTTGCTGAAAGGTGAAAACATAATTTTCTCTTTAGTATATTCAAAAAGGCTACAGGATCATCCCCACCTCAGGCTAGTTTTTAGGAGACTCACCTACAATACTTTTTAGGGGGCTGACAGCATTCATGAGGGTTTTTAAAGTGTCCTGAACAGTTCTGTCTCTCAGGATAATTTTCTGGAACATACTGAGGAAATTCTAAAACAAAAACGCATGGTCAAAGAACAAAACATGATGTATCAAACAAATACTCCAGTTACCTAAAACGCTATGTAGAACAGAGACTGGGCCTAAGTCACATAAAACCTCTAAACAGGATGACAGCAAAAAGAAGCAACTTCAGGTTCCTGTTAGAAACATCCCTTGCTAGAAAAAGTCACTGGTTTCAAAGATTAAAAAATCTTATCTTCCCAAGCTGAAACTCGCAGAAACAGTCTAATCCTATAAAGAACTATACTGGCCAAAGAAATTTTAGTTTATTCTCAGCTCTTACCTATGCAATAGGTATCATATGTCTAAAGCCAGTATAAGAAATCATGGGAGAAAAGTTAAATGAGTTCAAACTGCCCAGTAAGTTATGTTCTTGCCTCTGCCCAGGGTGGCAGAAAACAGGCATGAAAGTCAAAAGGCTCACCTGTAACTCTTTTACAATCATAAAGCACAGAAGCCTGTCTAAGCCATTCAGACCAAAGGTCCCCAAGGTGGTCTGGATTTCTGAGAAGAGGCGGCTGCTGGTCACTTCCTGATGAGTTTTCATATCATACCAAGTGTTCAGCTGGTCTATGTGACATGTTATTCTAAAATGAAAACAATGCAAAAATCCCAGAACGGCTCAGAATTCAACCTTAGAGATGTTAGGACTCAACAGGACATGGGGTACCAAATTATGAAGAATGGCAGTTACATGATCTGTGCTTTCTAACCTCCGTGTTCAGGCACCCAATGCATCGTCCCAGTGACCGCCCAAGGGAACAGGAAGATAAAATTCAGTCGGACCCCCTCTTCCTGCCCTGTGTCATCATATCATTGGTTTGAGTCACTTCTTTCTACTGAGTTAGGCTGCTGACTTGGAATCATGCTGAGAAGACAAGGTCAGGTTCAGCTGTCAGGCCGGAATCCTTTAGGGCCCACTTATCTCTCTACGTGGCCTTCCTTTAAATTTCCAGTTTGGAGCAAAAACAAGGCCTTGTGCCATTTCCATTTGGTAAAAAAAGGAACCTAGAATCTCCACACGCTACCTAACATTTGAGACTATGATAACAAAGCCATTTGCTTTTTCCTCTCAGTTCCTTCAACTTGCAGATGACATCTTCTGGTCATCTCCAAATAATTCCTTGTAGATTCAGAAGTGTGATGATGACAATGACAATAACCAACCAACCGTATTTACTGGGCACTTATTATGCACCAGGTACTGTGTGTGCTAAGAACTTTTCATGTGTTATCTCATTTCATACTCATGATAGTTCTGTGGAACACAAACTATTTTTTTTTTTTTTTTGAGACGGAGTTTCACTCTTGTTACCCAGGCTGGAGTGCAATGGCGCGATCTCGGCTCACTGCAACCTCCACCTCCTGGGTTCAGGCAATTCTCCTGCCTCAGCCTCCTGAGTAGCTGGGATTACAGGCACGCGCCACCATGCCCAGCTAATGTTTTGTATTTTTAGTAGAGACGGGTTTTCACCATGTTGACTAGGATGGTCTCGATCTCTTGACCTCGTGATCCACCCGCCTCGGCCTCCCAAAGTGCTGGGATTACAGGCTTGAGCCACCGCGCCCAGCCGGAACACAAACTATTTTATCCTCATTTTATAGATGAGGTAACTGAGGCTCTCATAGGTCTGACTACCACCCTTAACCACCATTTCAATGGTTTTCAAACACTGAGAGAGGAACCCTGAATCCGTGGTGGAGCTTGTTTGAAATAAAGACGCCCAGCTTCCACTCCTGGAGAATCTGATTTAGCAGTTCTGGGGGAGAGCTTCAGCCTTTGCATTTTCAGCAAGCTCCACAGGTGACAACCTACTGTCCAAAGCCACCACATACCTTTACCAGAAGGAGGCTTGAGGAGCTGAAGGGGCCTAGAAGCAAGGGAGGTTTAAACCAGGAAGCAAATGGGGAGAACAAAAGGATTCCCAAACTGCATACAACTTCACCTGCTTGCTTCAGAGACTTCTTCTGCCACCAAATATACTTCGATACATCACTGAAGAGGTCCCCGATTCTGATGATAAAATTTATATATGATGTGGAAATCCTGGTCACACTTAATCTGCTCTGCCTGTATTAATAGGGCACTGGGTAGTTTTCTAAAAAGGCTTCAGTGATTGAAGGGTACCAAGAAAGAAGGAGCTATACAACTTTTGAATCACTTACTCTTTTTGTCCCATGAGTCAAAATTCCTTATTTCTGCTGGAAATTTTGGAAGCAGTTTATATATAGTTTGTCAACTTTCATAAGTTTTGAAGGACAAAATAAGCCTGGATTAGAAGACCGTACAAAGGATCCAGGTCCTAAGAACATTTAACTCACACAAGGTCAACTACACAAGCTTGGGCGGACAGAGAACAAAGAGAATCGCTTTTTCCCTGGGTAATCCCACCAACCCTTCTGCTCACTGAGCCCGTGCCCAGGGGTAGACATGAGAACCTGCTCTTCCCTGAACTGGTTTCAGTACCAACAGCTTCTCCTGAGGCTCCAGTGAAGAAAAAGGAGGAAATCTGGCTCAGCTGGACTTACTAGAGGCAGCATGCTTGTCTCTGCCATGGTGCTTACCTAAAATATTCTCAGGAGCAGTTTTAATCAAATGAGACTTTCATCCAGTTACTGCTGAAGGTAGAACCCACATGACCTGCATGTAGACTGTGATTTCTGTATATAAAGCTATGCAGTCTGCCCTTCACAGTACAGTGCTTAGGAGCTGGGCTCTGAAGTCAAGGGGCCTAGTGTGTATTCTGGGTCCACCATTTATTACCTGTAATGCTGGGCAAATGACTAAGCTTTTTTGTGCCTCAGTTAGCTCATCTTTAAAATGGGTATAAGAATAATGCCTATCTCATAAGATTGCTATAAATGGGTTAATGACTGGATATGTATAATGTGCTGGGAAGAATGCATAGGTAAGTGTTCCATAAACATTAGTTGTTATTATCAAAAGTGCTATGAGAGTAGATTCTTATAAGGAGCGCACAACCCAGATCCCTCACATGCAAAGTTCGTGGTCCTATGAGAATCTAATGCTGCCACTGATCTGACAGGGGTGGACTCAGGCGGTAATGCTTGCTTGCCCATCACTCACCTTTTGCTGTGCAGCCTGGTTTCTAACAAGCCACAGACCAGTATCAGTCTGCAGCCCAGGGGTTAGGGACCCTTGTCCTAAAGGGTCAGAATACGAGTTGACAAGTGCAGGACCCTCAAGACTGGAACAGAGGCTGTGCCACAGGGACAGGGCTGCAGATGAGACTCCCTATGCTATTCAGGACTCCGCAGAATTCAGATATACCTACTTAGGGTCTGTGATCCGCAGGATTTCTCTGCAGAGTCTACCAATAAACGTTACAGACTCATCCACAGGGGTAAACTTGGGTATTGGAATATGAGTGGACTGGTACATGCTTTGCCAATCTTGAATCTAGAAAACAAAACCATCAATATTTAGCACACCTTTGATAAGATAACCTAGTTATCCTTTTTCCACATAATTTTACAAAGCATATTGCATAAAGATGAACAATAAAAGTTCTTGGTATTTTGTTTTTTGTTTTTTTTAGATGGAGTCTTGCTTGGAGTGCAGTGGTGTGATCTCTGCTTACTGTAACCTCCACCTCCCAGGTACAAGCGATTCTTTTGCCTTAGCCTCCAGAGTAGCTGGGATTACAGGCGTCTGCCATTATGCCCAGCTAATAGCATAGAGATGAGGTTTTGCCATGTTGGCTAGGCTGGTCTTGAACTCCTGATCTCAAGTGGTCCTCCCGCCTTGGCCTCCCAAAGTGCTGGGATTACAGGTATGTGCCACTATATCTGGCTAATTTTTGTATTTTTAGTAGAGACATGATGGTCTTGAACTCCTGACCTCAGGTGATCCACTTGCCTTGGCCTTGAAAGCACTAAGATTACAGGTGTGAGGCACTGTGCTTGGCCAGGTTTGTTTTTCATTTTAGAGACAGGATCTTGCTCTATTGTCCAGGCTAGAATACCATGTGCAATCACAGCTTGTTGCATCCTAACCTCCTGGGCTCGAGCAATCCTCTCGCCTCAGCCCCCAAGTAGGTGGGACTACAGGCAAGAGCTCCTATGTTAGGCCTGTCCCTTGGTTTTGAAGAGGAAACTTCTAAAACTGCATTAATAATAGTCTCCCAGAAATGCCACATGTAACATTTATTTAAAAAAAAAAAAAAGTTTGTGACAAGGTGAAGTGACAAAGGAGAAGTGAGAAGATGAGCCATGGGAACTTCTGGCTTTCAGCCTTGTAAGTTGACATGCATCCATGTAAAAATCCAAAAAATCCTAAGGCTGGAATAGACTTACACTTTGGAAAATGTCACCCAAATCATGTCAGTTCCCACATAAACACTTGCAGAGTGGCTCCTTGTTCATTACTTACTAAAATCAACTTCTCAGTAAGGGTTTTGTGCATTTGGTGCTTTTTTTTGCCCAATTAAAGAAATGGGCAAAGGATTTTTTATGCACATTTTCCCAATGAAGACATATAATGGCCAATAAGCTGTTCAACATCATTAGCCATTAGAGAAATGCAAATCAAAACCATGATGAAATACCTTCATGTGCACTAGGGTGACTATAATTTAAAAAAATGGAAAATAACATGCATCGGTTAGGACGTGGGGACACTGGAACCCTCGTATACTGCTGCTGGGCATGTAAAATGGCGCCATTATTGTGGTACAGAACTACCCATTATAGGTCCCAGTATATACCTGCCAAACCCAACCCAAAGGAGTCCTAAAAGTCTTCTAAACTCTCAGTCACGTGTATTATAACAATTACAACAAACAGCTTCATTCTGTAGCCATTTAATGATGTCTGCCTTCTCAGACAGTGGGCTCCCAGAGGCCAGGTGCCATGTCTACTCCTCTGCAACCCTCCTGGCTCCTGAAGGTACTCTGAATGTACTGAGACTATCCAGTGTTTACAGATTTTTAGAAAATAAACTTTCTTGTTGGCATTTCTGAGGTTTGGGGTGTGTACTTTAAACATGAGAAATAACACATATAGTCAAAAATTTTTAAAAATTATTAGATACCTTTGTTCTTAGGAAGTTGTTACACTCTTGCTCCACATTGTAATTTATAATACGAGACACTTCTTCCTGCCAAATCTTCAGCCCATAAATGTTGACATAGTCCTGTATGTATTCAAAAGAACGATGGAATCCATTCATAGTGGCTCCCAACTCTTTCAGCTTGGGCATCAGTTCACTTGGCTGTGGAAAAGGGGAAACATAAAGCTCTTAGAATGGAGTAAGCTGTCAACTATTAATACTAATATCTACACTAGACTTTAAATAGTATAGCAGACTGAGTGTGGTGGCTCACGCCTGTAACCCTAGCACTCCGGGAGGCCAAGGCGGACAGATCACTTGAGGACAGGAGTTTGAGACGAGCCTAGCCAACATGGCAAAACCCCGACTCTACAAAAAAAATACCAAAATCAGCCAGGAGTGGTGGTGCACAACGGTAATCCCAGCTACTCGGGAGGCTGAGGCAGGGGAACTGCTTGAACCTGCGAGGTGGGGGCTGTACTGCACTCCAGTCTGGATGACAGAGCGAGACTTCATCTCAAAAAAAAAGAAAAAAGGAAAAAAAAAGGCTGGGCACAGTGGCTCATTCCTGTAATCCTTGCACTTTGGGAGGTTGAGATGGGGGAATCACTTGAGGTCGAGTGTTCAAGACCAGTGCGGCCAACGTGGTGAAACCCCCTCAAAAATACAAAAATTAGCCAGGCATGATGGCAGGAGCCTAAATGCCAGCTACTCAGGAGGCTGAGGCATGAGAATCGCTTGAAGTCAGGAGGCAGAGGTTGCAGTGAGCTGAGATCGTGCCACTGTATTCCGGCCTGAGTAACAGAGCAAGACTCCTTCTCAAAAAATAAATAAATAGTACAGCAGTTAAGAGACCATAGTCATAGCTTAAGACATACTTTAAGTTTTGGAATTACTTTTTACTTCACCTAGGATGAGTAATAACTGATGTCAGAAATTCACCAAAGAATGGATTTCATTCATTTGGGAAGAAAGCCTCATATAAGGGAATATAAAAAATTAAATGACTATGATTTCTCTGTCATTTGATGAATATATCTAAGAGTACTTAAAACATTTTAAATTGAATTTACTATAATAAATACCTTAAATAGAAATTTCAGGCCTATTTTTTTTCTCCTGAGAAAAATTACCATATTCCCAGCAGATAAAGCAAAATAAAAAATTACAACCTTTATAGTTCCTATCTGCTTTAGGGTTAGCAAATTCTTTTAACTATAAGAAGTAATTCTGAATCATACACATCAGTTTAATTCTGAAATGGGGCTCAATAGGTAGAGAAAAGATGCACTGGTTTTAAAAATATGAACTTTTAAATATAAAATCTAAATTTCACATTTATGCTATGAATTTATAATATGAATGGATTAGGCTGAAAATCACATATTAGATATATACATTAGCTAGGAGGTAAGGTCTTGTTCACGACAGGTTAAAAACAGTATTCTAGTCCACTCTGCAAGCTGAGTGGAAAAGAGGACAGGCCCGCTTTGGTCACTGGGTACCTTGGCTCGAGGGTTGAATATCAGTCCCCTATGCAGGGCAAAGGCAACACGCTTCACAAGCTCCTTCCTTATTCCATCTTCCAGCAACTGCTTTGGATCCACCTAAATGCCAATCAAAAGTATTAAATGATATTTATGAAAAACTCAGTCCTGATGAAATCCAGAAGAAAGATGGCTTCCCTGCAGGGGAACACTTTCCTACCTCCTCACAAATAATTTGAAATTTTTTCTTTCCTGCCCCTGTGATCTTGCACAGCTTGGATGGAATTATTAAACCTGTCACTTTTTTAGGACTCTGTTTATCTCAGCAAAGTTCATGACGATAATTTGATGACATGGCATTTGAAAGACGGTGAATAGGGCAAGTTTTAAATGGCCTCACATTCTAATTAATGCATTAAGAGTAAAAAGTGCCTTTTCTTATCAGCAGCAGGGGTGGGAGGAAGGACCTCCAGTTAAATTTATAGATGCATGGTCTTCCATCAGATTTTATTTCAGGGTACCCTATATCCATGTGAGCAAACTCAGATTTGAGGTTGGACCACTCTGTAAATGGAATAATTCACTTTTCTTTCAGTATTCTTGGAATGCTACTTGTAATTAGGGAGATAAAATAGGAAAGCAAATCTGCTATCTAACCCTATAAGCTTTTTATCTTATTAATTTTGCCAATTAATTATTCTATAATGAAAAAGCTTTTGTTATTCCTTAAAAAAGTCTCTTATCAGTTCCATAAAACACTAAATGGTCTTTATATACTCCCTTGAATTCCCAGAGACTTGCTTCTTTTACTTTTAATTTGTAAAGAACCATTATTTTAAAAAGTCACAAAGGCAATTAATAGGTTCCATCTGGTTTTGATTATATTTAAATTTCAAATAAGACAACTGCAGTGGGAGTTGCAAAAACACAAAATCCAGAGAAACACATTAAGTTACGTCAAGACCATTCAATCTAAGCTATGTCAAGACCATTCAATCAGGGAAATCCAGACTGTAGACCAACTAAAGGTGAAAGGCCCTATGTTCTTCAACAGATGAATTACAGGGAAAGAAAGGAAAGGAGGAGAAATCTGCAGATTAAAAAAAGACTTAAAAGACGTATTTTTTTCAAATGGGCAAGTCTAAGCTACTAGTCTAGAAATTAATGACATAGTTTCATTGGATAATAAAACTACACACAGGAGGCCTAAGATTAGCTCAGGGTGCATGAGGGGGCTTTCAGGAGTGGGGCTGGCTAAATCCTATTTCTCGACTTAGGTGGTAGTTAGAACGACTGGTGTTTATCTTGTAATAATCCAACAGGCTACATCATTCTTTCTTTAGTTTTCAGCATCTATGCTTTACTATACAATAAAAAGGTAAATTATAAAGATATAATCAAAGAGTACAGAATCAAAGAAGTATCATGAAGCTTTCAAAGAAATATTCCTTATAAGAACAGATTTAGTGAAAGAGTCCAGTGCTTTCATGAATCTAAAGATCTCATGTGGTTCCTCTAATCCTTCCCGGATTCTCACTCATCTGTGGAAGTGTTCACAGCTAAGAGAAAGCCATCTTCACACAGCCCCTTCCTCACATTTCTATTCCCTTCCTCTGAAGTCACAACAGTAACTGTTATCATATGGATCATCCAGACTTCTCTCTATTCATTTATATACATAAATATTCATCCTTAAACATATATTTAATTTCAAAAATCTAAATGGGATCATATACATATATATGTACAGAGACACATGCAGGTATATCACACACATATATACTATACATATACACACAGACACATGCATATATATCACATACATTTATATATATGTAACCAAACACACATAGTTGGTGCCATGGGCAATGGAAATGGAAGCAGGAACCAGGAGAAGAAGAAAACAAACAAACAAACAAACGAAAGATGAGAGGAGCTTGCATGCCCCAGTGACGACAGTGGTCTGTGAAAAGAGGGATATGATTATCTTAGCTCTCTGTACCTGGGGTATGAAATAAAAATACTAAAATAAAGGAAGGAAAAGAGAAAAAGAAGAAGGCAATTTTGCCTAAGGAAATTGAATTTTTGTTTTTTTTGTTTTTCCCAAAATTCAGTAAAATATATTTTTCTTAGATTTAAACAACTCTTTGGTAAAACCGTAATAGCACGACACATTTTCTGCAGAACTGCAAGGTAAAGAAATTCCCACTGCCCTCAAGTATTAAGAGAAATACAAATTACAATGCTTTCTCTTCCTCCATCAATAAGTGAGTAAAATGGGCTGGGCACAGTGGTTCATGCCTATAATCTCAGCACTTTAAAAGGCCAAGGTGGGCGGATCATTTGAGGTCAGGAGTTCGAGACCAGCCTGGCCAACATGGTGAAACCTGTCTCTACTAAAAATACAAAAATTACCCAGGTGTGGTGTTGCATGCCTTTAGTACCAGAGAATCATTTGGACCCAGGAGATGGAGGTTGCAGTGAGCCGAGATCGCATCACTGCACTCCAGCCTGGCAACAGAGAACTCTGTCTCAAAAAATAAAATAAATAAAATAAATGAATAAAATGAAGACCAAAATTGGAATGTGAAATAGCAAGATGATGTCACTCCCTTTTTCACACATGATAATTACCACAAAAATCCAAACAGAGTCATGGTATGAGGCCACACTGACTAACAAAACTGTTACCTTGATGATGCCAACCAAAGTCGTTTTCATCATTAAGATGCCTTCAGTAAAAATGGAAATAGCATGAGTAAGCTTGGCAACCTTTAACAAAGAAAAAGAGGTATGAAAAGTACTTCAGATAAAAGACCCATCACTTCTGGGAAATCAGAAATTATTGGCTAATAGTCCTGGAATGGGCAAAGATAACAGGAAATGAACTTGTAGCTTTAGGATACCTGTGTCCACATGTTCTGGACAGAAATGTGGCTTTTATGCCCACTGTTACATATAGTGGGTAATTCAGTCAGAAGACATCAGTTCATTCTTTCACATTTGACAAAGCATTTCTTCTTTTGGCTTCATTTTCGCATGTATAAAATTTAAGGCATAACTCAATGATCTAGATCGGCCCTTCCGGCTAGAAAAGACCATGAGACTGAGAAGGCAACCTCCCCTTCACTAGCCTCCCATTATTTGCAAGCTACTCCAGCAGATATTGATATGGTAGACAGGTGCTAGCTATACTGTTCAATCAGAATAAATGTGGAAATAACAAGTTTGATAATCTAAGTCTCTGACATATTTTTGAACTCATGTCAGAACAGGAAATTAACAATGTACATCATATTTTCTATTTTCACTTGATTTTACTTTTGATGTCTTTAAATTATAAGCTCAGGGAGAAAAAAACCGGAGGTGTTTGGTGAGAATAACCTCTGAGGCTGCTGAACTGTTATTGAATGGGCTTAAAATCCGCCCACTAGGAAACAGTTAACAGAATATGGATTATTTTGAGCTGCTCAAAAAGCAGGAACATGAATATGAAAAGTCAGGTAATCTAGCTCAAAGAGAACAAGGGCTGCTTTACCAAGACTACTCTAGAAAAAAGGGACCAGCTGAGTGAGCTCCATTTCCCCTGCGCATACTGAGGCAAACAAGGCCTTAAATGACACCAGGAAAATATCAAGAATAAAAGGTCTGATTCTACTAAAATGGTAAACCATGTTTATCACTGTGAATGTGAGAAAACAAGTCAGAATTGGTCTGGTGGGTCCCCAGCACATGGCAGGTGACACAGGCCTGTGATATTTCATGACTGTTAGTCTTTAATATGAAAAGGCAGAAGTCAGAGGGACATCGCACCTCGTATCGTGGACCCAGCTGGGCGTAGTCCCTCAGCTTGTCTTTGTCCAGGCGGGTAGGCACTTCAATAATATCATGGGTTTGAAGCTTTATGATCTTTAGAAGAGACGTAAACATGCTTTCTGGGATGATCTGCAAAACCTTCAATGAAAAGGAAAGGAGGAAACGCAAGGAATACCCGTTTTACTTTTCTTGGCTGACAAATATTAGGATGACAGTAAACAGCAATTTGTCTGTAAAGGGGATGCTGAAAAACTTAAAAGAGCTGTTTTAATAACTGCTAGCAGGCACAGGGCTCCATTCCTTTAAACCAGGCGTCCCCAGACTTTTTACACAGGGGGCCAGTTCACTGTCCCTCAGACCGCTGAAGGGCCGCCACATACTGTGCTCCTCTCACTGACCACCGATGAAAGAGGTGCCCCTTCCTGAAGTGCGGAGGGGGGCCGGATAAATGGCCTCAGGGGGCCGCATGCGGCCCGCGGGCTGTAGTTTGGGGACACCTGCTTTAAACGTTAGTTGCTTACAGAATATAAAGCTAATTCTAAAATGCTGCAAAAGACTGTATCATTTCCATGTTACACACCTTAAAAAGATCGAGGTTCAAAAATGTTAAGTAACATCACTACAGAGGACTCAGCTAGTATGTGACACCATTAAATTTTGAATTCAGGCCTGTCTGGCTCCATGTTCTATAAGAAGTTATTAAAATGAGGATCAAAATTCCCATGAAAACCTGAATTGTGCTCTGACCAGGAGATGTTGGATCTAGATGTGGCTCTGCGATTTAGAAGAAACTATTATAATTTCTGCTTCTACATCTAAAAAATAGAGGTGAGGCCGGGCGCGGTGGCTCAAGCCTGTAATCCCAGTACTTTGGGAGGCCGAGGCGGGTGGATCACAAGGTTGAGAGATCGAGACCAACCTGGTCAACATGGTGAAACCCTGTCTCTACTAAAAATACAAAAAATTAGCTGGGCATGGTGGCGCGTGCCTGTAATCCCAGCTACTCAGGAGGCTGAGGCAGGAGAATTGCCTGAACCCAGGAGGCGGAGGTTGCGGTGAGCCGAGATCGCGCCATTGCACTCCAGCCTGGGTAACAAGAGCGAAACTCCGTCTCAAAAAAAAAAAAGAAAAATAGAGGTGAATACCACCAACATTTAAAACAGAAATAAAAGTTCCTGGCTTGTAAAAACAGCTGTACATCCAGAGTAGCAATAAGAATAAGTTTATTTTTAGGTGTTGAAAATTTCTGGAATCAAATTCTAAACAGGAAAAGAGACATGAATGTACTTTTGGGGGCCTAAGCATACTTTTGTATTAAAACAACAGTTATCTGGTAAGAGTAAATATCACCCTGATGCATTTCTTACTTTTCTCACATAGGATACCAACTCTCCAGAATAGTACTGCGACACGCTGAGCAGATCAGGGCTATTTGCCTGATTAATACGAAGAAGGGGCAGATCCAGGGCAGAGGCAAGCTGGAAGAAAAATAAGGTATATCTGTTTCTCTGTTTCAGAAAGAGTCCTAGAAATCTTTGTTTCCAGAAAATGTAACATACAACAAAACATTTCAGCTTTACCCAACAGAGGGCAACAACTACCAAATCTCATCCATATCATTGATAGTTTCTGACAATATACTTTTTGAAAAACTCTAGTTACTAAACTGTGATGGCAGTGGTTATTTATTTATTTATTTGAGGTGGAGTCTCGCTCTGTGGCCCGCCCAGGCTGGAGTGCAGTGGCGCAATCTTGGCTCACTGCAACCTCCACCTCCTATGTTCAAACATTTCTCCTGCCTAAGCCTCCTGAGTAGCTGGGACTACAGGTGCGCACCACCACAACCAGCTAACTTTTGTTTTAATGGAGACCATGTTGGTAAGGCTGGTCTCAAACTCCTGATCTTGTGACCCGCCCGCCTTCGCCTCCCATAGTGCTGGAATTACAGGCATAGCCCACCACGCCTGGCTGGCAGTGGTTCTTAAACTGTTCCCCCTGGACCAGTAGCTTTAGCATGACCTTGTTAGACATGCAAATTATTGGGCCCCACTCCACAATGACGTAGTCAGATGCCCTAGCAGTGGGGCCCAGCAATCTGTGTTACAACCAGCACTGCAGGTGATTCTGATGCACGCTCAAGTTTCAGAGCCACTGTGCCACAGAGGACAGTCATTCCTGTGTGGAAATCAAGACATTCTGATTGATGCGCTACTGAATCTGTCCAATCTAATAATGCAGTCAAGTCTAAAAAGTGCCATTATTTTCTGTGCCACTCAGAAAAAAACAAAATGCTGACAACTAAACTATGATATACCATCAATTATAAAACCCATCCCCAGTTACAGAAATGTTAACTTACGAAAAACAGTGTAGTAGCCAGGCGCAGTGGGGCACACCTATAATTAAAGCTACTTGGGAGGCTATGGCAGGAGGATCACTTGAGCCTGGGAGTTTGAGACTACCCTGGGCAACTCAGTAAAAACCCATCCCCCTCATCCCCAACTCCCCCCAAAAAAAGTGCATTTCAGAATTGATATATACGGTGCATGGTAGCTCTGTCAGAAGACAGTGAATAGGCCGGGCGTGGTGGCTCACACCTGCAATCCCATCACTTCGGGAGGCTGAGGCAGGACGATCATTTGAGGTCAGGAGTTTGAGACAAGCCTGACCAACATGGTAAAACCCCGTCTCTACTAAAAATGGTAAAAATTAGCTGGGCGTGCTGGCAAATGCCTGTAATTTCAGCTACTCAGGAGGCTGAGGCAGGAGAACTGCTTGAACCTGAGAGGCGGAGGTTGCAGTGAGCCAAATCATGCCACTGCACTCCAGCCTGGGCAACAAAGGGAGATTCCATCTCAAAAAAAAAAAAAAAAGGAAGAAGACATTGAGTAGATTCTTTGTTCATTTACCATGAACTGAAATTACCACGAGAGCATGGGCCGTGCCTGTTATTCACCACTATTCTCTATTATTGTAGATATTAATACTAGTTTGTAGCAGAGGCTCAGTAAGAATTTTTGGAATGAATAAGTAAAATAGCTTAATTCATGCCTAGGGAATAAAGGATGCAAAGGTCTTGCATTTTTAGTACACAGATAAAACTTAAAAAAAAATACTATTCTTCACTTAAAAATAGTATTCCTGAAGACACTCCAACTTATATTATTAATTCAAACTTTAAATACTTCTAGCATCTTTGATACTATGCTATCATGGAAAAATTGCTAAAAATTTCTGTCTATAAAAATACTGAAATTATTTACCTTCCTAAAAGAATAAATCCTGGGCTGAATTAATGAATGAGGTATGAATGAAGGCCAACTCTTTCCTAGTAACAGAGAATCTCATTGTTTTTGCTTACCTTTAGGAAGGTAGCTCTGAGTTTAGTAACCATGGATGGATTTACCCTTATGCTTTCTTGCATGATGGATGTGAAACTGTAAAAACAGAAAAATGGTAAGAAGATGCTCCCAGGGCCTTCTATCGAGGGCAAATGTCAGGCTGTCTACATTACCTGTCAATCAACTGCCAAGCAAAAGAAAGATCCCCAACGATCTGCATTGTGATCAGAACCTCCTCTTTAATGTTAATAGTTCTGATCATTTGATGAAGAAACTTTCGAGTATCGGCAAGAAACTGACATACTTGCAGATTTGATTCCAACTGGTGGAATTCTTGAACCTGTGTTACAGAAATATACTTCATTTAAAAATCCTGAATGGACTCTATGGTGCTCATTTGTTCTTGAAAACACTTCAAATAAAGCACACTACTTCTGACAAGTTCTTAATAAAATTTTATTTCAAATTATAATTTCAGAAATATGTTAGCCAAGCTATTTAAAAAATGCACAAGTTTCTAGGATTAGAAAATGTTCCACTGCTTATTCTTCTGTATATCACAACCAGTATGTTGGCACTTGTAATATTATTAAGTTCTTCTGATGCACTTTTAAAACAAAATAATGATTCTACAATGTCTTGAAATTTTAATGTATTTAACTCAAGATGCCTGGGTTATATGCCAAAATAAATAGGGCAAATGATAAAAAACATTTGAGATTTACAAAGTTATTTACAATTGTATTGTAGACTAAAAAAAAACAAAAACAAGCAAAGTAGAAATAATACAAGTGTGCCCTTATTCTGGAATAAGAAACTTTGGTAAGAATATTTTACTGTGCTGCTGTTTATAGTGACCATCCTAAAAATCTTGCAGAACTAAGAAAAAGCCTGTAACAAAATCTTCCAAGGGAAAAAAGTATTAATTACATTTCTACAAATATATAATCATACCATTTGGATAGGGTTATAGATAATGAGTAAAAATTATGTTTTAAATAATAGAGCTGTCTGGGCATACAGTGCCTCATGCCTGCAATCCCAGCACTTTGGGAGGCCAAGGTGGGTGGATCACTTGAGGTCCAGAGTTTGAGACCAGCCTGGCCAACATGATGAAACCCCAACTCTACTAAAAATACAAAATTAGCTGGGCGTGGTGCCGGGTGCCTGTAGTCCCAGGTACCATGGAGGATGAGGCAGGAGAATCACTGGAACCCAGGAGGTGGAGGTTGCAGTGAGCTGAGATCACACCATTGCATTCCAGCCTGGGCGACAGAGTGAGCAAGACTCCATCACACCAAAAAAAAAAAAAAAAAAAAAGTTTATGGTTATTTTTCTGATGCTTTTAGTTACCATTTAAAATCTAGTTAAATACGCAAATAAAATTTAAGAGTGGTGAGGTATAATTTTTTTGGTACAATCATTTTTAGTTGATAGAAAAACAAACTATTTTTTCAGAAAAGAAAATATACCACTGTAGGCATACGATCATTATATAATTATTTTCATTTTTGTGTGTTTTTTCCCCCAAGGCACACACTTTTTCGCAACCCTAAAAATAATATACACATGCAATTTTGGTTTTGCTTTTACCTCCTTATCACAATTTGCCCAATGTTTCTATATTATTTTTATAATTATGTTTCTAAGATTACATGTTTCCTCAAGTTAAAATATTGTCATTTTTGCTACCATTTTCTTCATATTGGTCATTTATTTCCCCAAATTTAGGACACTAAGTGTTACAGGAAACATATTAATTAATGTTGCTTTTATTTCTGATGAAATAGTCTCTTTAGATATATTTACAGAACACACTGCTGGGTGGGTCATAAGGTATGATTCATAATCTAAGCATCTTCATTTTAAAACTTTGCTTACCTCCTCCAAAGCTTGTATCAGTTGCACAGTTTTTCTGCCTGCAGCAGTAGAATCATCATAATTCAAAGACAATATTTGTTTTGAGATCTCTCTGAACCAAGCTTGAAGATTTTCTAGAATACAGAAATAAGAAAAGATTACTGAAATCCTTGGATTCCTGTAGCTGTGGCTTTGAATTGAATTATATAATCTTTCACAAATTCAGTTCTTCAGAGCTTTTACCATGGGCCGAACACTAGGAATTTTCCAAATGACAGAAGTGCCTGGAGCATGCAACATCGTAGAATAAACTTTCTACATAAACAGCTTAGTCTATAACACTTGGCAGACAAATACTACAGGCCCAAGTACATGCTATCAAGGGTAAGTGCGAAGGTGGTAGTGGCAGTGGAGAAGAGTCAGAAAGGAACTGAAGGGTGTCCCTAGTTCCCAGGGGGAGTTTTCCGGAGAAGCGAGTATAGGTAAAGATGTGGATCGTCGGAGAGATGAAGAAGGGTATACTGTATCTAGATGAAAGGCAGACACAGGCAGAGACATCAGGGCAGATGTCTACAGTACATCTACAGCAATTCTACAGTATAACTAACTTCATCAGAAGTTGGTCTGATAATCGCAACAAAAAAGAGCCTATCTTGGAGGGGAAAGAAGAGACCAATACGACAAAAGTGTAAGGTGTGACTGGTGAGTCACAGGGATGTCTGAACAGTTCAGGGGGTGCCATTTGCATTTATGAACCAGCAGACATTTCATACAGTGGAGAAAGAGAAGGGTGTCCACATGCTCTAAGTACCCTCAGTGTGTCAGACAAAGTTCTAAGTATTTAATCTTCACAGCAATATAGGGAGGTAGAAATTGTTAGCTATATCCCAGATAAAGAGGCTGATGTTCAGAGAAACTGAAAATACTATGCAGGGTGACACGGTTACTAAATGGCAGAGCCAGGACTTAACAACTGTCTGTCCAGGTTCAAAAACTCTGTGTTCTTTATCTCACCAAGTTGGTCCTCTAGTTTTTTGTTGTTTTTTTTTTTTTTTTAATCAATAGGGTGGTTCCACATTATTAAAAGGACTTAATGACTTATAATCTAAGTTATTTCAAGAATTGGCATGACAAACACTCATAATCTTGTAGATTTTTGTAGGACTGAGGGGCAGCAATTGGAGGAGTAGAAAGAGCATGACATTTCAGGTCTGAGATGAGTGAGACCCTGGCTCTGTACCTTCATACCTTTGGCAAATGATTATGTTTTTAAGCCTCAGTTTCCCTATATATAAAATAAAGATCAAGATGTGTATCTTACAGGGTTGTAAAGATCAAATGAGAAAATTTTGCGAAAGTATGTTCTAAGCTGTAATAAACTATACAGCCCAGAAAAAATGTAAAATTGTTATTTCATCTCTGAAACAATGCTGGTATTTGTAAGGGCCTAAAAGAAACAATCACAGAGATGAATGTACTGATTCTAGACAGCTAACTGGGTCAGACTGTTACACATGATTGTTTTCCAGATCACAATATAACCATAATATTCATTCTAGACTTCAGGTTTCATATCACAATATGGTGACCTGCAAAGCATGTTTCCAGTTTATATTACGTCATTATACATTGGCTGATTTTTCCCTATAGGAACAATAATACAATTTGGAAATACATTTTTGACCAACCACTCAGCATCAAATAAATAAACAAAAGCCAAAATACAGTAATCACAAGCTCAGACTGATGAAAAATAACAAAGTTTTTAAACAAGAAGCAACACTACTAAGCAATTCTATAGTATCATTAATTTCATCAGAAATCAATTGGATAGTTAAAACAAAATTAAGCATTAAAAAAATAGTTTGTCACTATTCACTATTCTGAAAAACTTCAGAAAGCTTTTGGGGAGCAGTTAGAAAATTTCTTATTTATAAAAATTTGAAATGGTGCCAGAATTTTCCTAAAAATAAAATTTCCTAGAAGAAGTAGGATCAAAATCATTAAAGTAAAATTGGGGCTGTGTTTTTTTCCAAAAATAGTCTGCAGTACCCTCTTCTGCCACTAGATAGCAGGTGCACTGGTGAACAAGAACGGAGAAAGATCAGAATTTTAGATATCATCCATGTTAGTAGACTACTGACATTCATGGGTGATTTACCCTTCTTAAGAAGATTATGAGAGTTTCAGATCCTTTCTTCCCTTTCCCCAAATGCACATAAACTGACTCATTAGTTTTTCATACCATGGAGGTGGAGGCCAACTATGACTCTAAACTTGTCTATGAACTGGAGTTACCAAAACCCCTGGTTTAGCCTAACCTCACATTTCAAAGATAAGATTTAAAACCTGAACTCTAGAATGGACATGAACATTGCCCAGGAGAGCAGAAAGCTAGAAGCAGCCAAAAGTAACCGTCAGATCTTTATTAGCAACACTAAGGAGGGACTATCATAGGATACAATAATGAGAACATAAAGCCTTTCCCAAGGTGTCAAATAACCTATGCCTACATTTCAAACACAACAGTATTTCCCCTTCAGCAATTACCATTTTTCTCCACTCTCGTTAGGGGTTTCACTCCTGAAAAGACATCAGCAAGCTCAGTCATCCGCTCTGAACCCTCTTTCTTGTAATGTTCCCATTTAGTTTGCTTTTCTGAAAGCATTTGCTTGAACATCTGTTGAAGTGAAAAAAAAGATGTATTTACTTATGAGAAAATCCAGAGTAGGCAGTTTATGAAGAGAGCTTGAGGAAACCCAATTTAAATTTTAAATAAGAAGCTACATTATATATTAATATTGACCCTGATGTCATCTCCTTGTAGAAATTCAGGGACAAAGCTAGACCACCTCCAAAACAGTAGTTCTCACACCAACTGCACATAAGCACCACCAGGAGGGCTTTAAAGTTTCAGAATCCCAAGGCCCAGCCCTAAAGCTTCTGGTCCAGGCAGTCTTGAATAGGGCCAGAAATCAGCATTTTTAACATGAGATTAAATTTGTGACCAGTGCTCTGTGGTTCTTTCTAGACAACAATGTCTGCAGTTCTAACTTAAATAGTCAGGGACAGTTTGCATATTACCTTCTCCAATGACTGGGGAATGAACTAAATCACCTACAAAAGTTCTTCGTTTTATCATGTAAGTTTCATTCTGTTTATTTTTATTTATTTATTATACAAGTAATTTTGTTTCTTTGTATTTATTTATTTTTAGTGACAGGGTCTCACTCTGTTGCCCAGGCCAGAGTACAGTAGGGTGATCATGGCTCACTCAACCTTGAACTCCCAGGCTCAAGTGATCCTCCTGCCTTAGCCTCTCAAGTACCTAGGGCTATGTGCATGCACCACTACACCTGGGTAATTTTATTCTTCTTATTTTTTGCAGGGATGGGGTTCTTGCTATGTTGCCCAGGCTGGTCTCAAAATCTTGGTCTCAAGTGATCCTCCCTCCTTGGTCTCCCATAGTGTTGGGATTACAGGCATGAGCCAATGTACTACCTTAATTCTGTTTAATGCACTCCTTCATAAAATTTAAATGCTACAAAGTCTTGGGCAGAGAAGAAAAGGGTGTATCTCAGGGCTGGGTTTTTTTTTTTTTTTACCTGAAACAAAATTTTAAAACATACTTATTTCTCACTAAAGGACATGCCATCTCAGACAAGGGTAGACGGTTCACTACACTGGGCTCTTACAAAGTAAACAAGCATGAAACACTGATTCCTTGCTTAAGAAATTCCTCACTTGCCAGCATCATAATGAATCTTGAAAAGCTGAGTGATGGGCTAGGGAGACTCCATCTGCAGGTGGAGAATCAGGGCTCTGTGGAGGAAGAATCTGAGTGATCTAGAAAATGACTAATCAATAAGATAATGAGGAAGAGGATGAGGAATAATGGAATTATTTATAGAGTCTACCCTAACTTTCTGAGTGCCTCAGATCAATCAATGCCATTTGACAAGGGCAAAGCAATGACATAAACAAGCACCCTGAGGCCTTCGTAAGCGACTACATGGCTTCCAGCCCCTCCCAACACGCATTCACATGAACTCGCAGGTTTCATATCTTACAGGATGGAATTTGGGATAGGGGATGGTCCCTGAATTAGGAAATGTACTGTCATATAAAGATTAGAAGAAACACAGGTCCAATTACTGTGTCTATAGGAGACTCAGAAAGTGATTGGGAAGTAGAAGAAAGAGGAAGGATGGAAAGTAGAAAAGAGAGGAAGCATGGGTTAAAGAACCAAGCTGAAGGCCAGACACTGTGGCTTGTTCCTGCAACCCCAGCACTTTGGGAGGCCGAGGTGGGTGGATCACGGGAGGTCAGGAGTTCAAGACGAGCCTGGCCAACATGGTGAAATCCTGTCTCTACAAAAATTAGCCAGGCGTGGTGACAGGCACCTGTAATCCCAGCTATTCAGGAGGTTGAGGCAGGAGAATCACTTAAACCTGGGAGGTGGAGGCTGCAGTGAGTAAAAATCACACCACTGCACTCCAGCCCGGGTGAGAGAGCGAGACTCCATCTCAAAACAAAACAAAACAAACAAACAAACAAAACGCCGAAATGTCAGAAATTCAAATCTATCACTTCTTTGCTCAATTTTTATTTTTTTCCTTTTACCAGAGCTTTCCCAAAGACCTTTAATGAGTTTGTACTCCTTTATGCTGTCTTGTTTCCTGCCTACCTGAATAGACAGAAGGAAGCTGTCCATTTGGTTTCCATAGATTCCAGAGAACAGACTTATCATTAGAAATGTAGGGTTGGTCAGTCAGACAATGCTGAACTATATATTATCTATAGAACTCTTGGGTCCCTGGGGCTCCAGTTCATGATTCTAACTGGCCTCAGGCTATTTCTTCCTTTGTTTTTTTTTTTGAGGAGTATTGCTCTGTCACCCAGGCCAGCATGTGGTGGCGCAATCTCGGCTCACCACAACCTCTGCCTCCTGGGTTCACGCAATTCCCCGGCCTCAGCCTCCTGAGGAGCTTGGATTACAGGCGTGCACACTGTGCCTAGCTAATTTTTGTATTTTTAGTTGAGTTGGGGTTTCCCTACATTGGTCAGACTGGTCTTGATCTCCCGACCTCAGGTGATCCACCTGCCTTGGCCTCCCAAAGTGCTGGGATTACAGGCGTGAGCCACTGCAGCCTGACTGGGCATTTCTTCCCTGTGGGCGTTTTTTTCACTTGCCTTTGAAAGGCCACTTTTGCTTTGACTTGGTTCCTGTTCTTGGATCTTTCATGGTTTCTCATCTTGGCTTAATCTTTCTTCCCCTAATATACTGACAGCTGCTAGATGATAGGGACACTTTGTTCATATTTAAATTTCCAGTACCTAAGAACAGAGTAGATACTCAATAACTATTTGCTATTCAGAGGGAAATCATTAAAATTATTAATAGATCAAAAAGGAGCAGCATTTACCTGATTTGATAAAGTAATACCCAGACAAATCACTGAAAACACTCAGCACAGGCATTATCATTATGTTAGCAGTTAGCATCTACTTTTTCTGAACTACTTAATGGGGAATATAGTGTCCTCAGACACCTAGAAGATAAACTCTAGTATTCCACTAACCAAACTGAAGCAAAAGGAGGATCTGTTCTAAACGGGTGTAAATATCCGATCTATTCCTGACCCGCCTGATCCAAACCCCTAGGGATACTGGTTTTAAGACCTGCGTATTCCCAGGTACCTATCATTTTTATTGAGCATTTATGCTCATATAAGCTTCTTTGGAGGTAAGAGTAATCTCAGCATTTCCTTCAGTGAACTCAGATGCCTTAAAGTTCTCAAGATGACCTTGTACAAATGCAAATTACCCATCCCACTTAATCCCTTTCTGGTAGGCTCTCACGGTTCTTACAATAAAGACCAAAGTCCTACAAGGCCTAGCATGGGCTGGCTCCTGCCTACCTTTCAGCCTCCTTTCACACTACCTTTCTCTCCTTCCCTCCCCTCCAGCCAACTGGTCTTTCAGGTCTTTGAATTGTTTGTGCTCCTCCTCACCCAAGACTTGATATTCTTCTTCTCCTCACTGGAATGTTCTTCTGACTGGAATCCCTACCTTTGTCTAGCTAACACTCACAGACCCCTTCTCCAGGTCCTTTCAGAAGCTCTTGCTTTTATTCTCATGGAAGTCTCCCAGGCTGCAAAAGAATACTTTATTTTAGGTACTTGGAGAACTATATTCCTTTCCTTCAGAGCAAATATCTGAGTTTGTATTTACATTTTTATTAGTGTGATTCTTTTTTTTGAGAGAGGGTCTCACTCTATTGCCCAGGCTGGAGTGCAGTGGTGCGACCCTGGCTCACCGTAACCTCTGCCTCCCTGGTTCAAGTGATTCTCATGCCTCAGCCTCCCCAGTAGCTGAGACAACAGGCGTGCACCATCACATCCATCAAATTTTTGTATTTTTAGTGGAGACGAGGTTTTCTCATGTTGGCCAGGCTGGTCTGGAACTCCTGACCTCAGGTGATGTGCCTGCCTTAGCCTCACAAAGTTGTGGGATTATAGGCATGAGCCACTGCATTTGGCCTAGTATGAGTCTTTGATTAATGTTTATAGTCCTCTTTAGGCTATAACCTCTACGATCTCATGTACCTTTCCCCATTACTAAACCCCCAGTGAAAGGAGGTATTACATGCTTGTTAAATGTTTATATCTGTCCTTTTACTGTAAGAACTATCTCAACAGCTGAAATCTGTACCTTGAATCAGAGATGGAGCAAGCAATCCTAGACTTTTTAAAAAAATATTTTTAAGCATAAAAAAGCTAAGACTGTGGTGATATTCATTCAAATATTTTTACCTCTTTGAGTATAAACTCAAATTGTGCAGTATCCAATAGCAACTGGAAGAGGATCCTGGGATTGTACCGAGAGTCTGTTAGAATCTGGTCCTTGATTTGCCGAAGGCGTTTGTTGTTTGGGTCGCAGGCTAGAAACAGGAAAAGTGTTACCTGCTTACAAAATGTGTACAATGTGTACAAAATATCTATAAAAATAAGATAAATTCTTAAAATACTTTCCTTCATTTTAAGCATTTAAAAAGCAACAAGCAAAATGTATAGCAATAAAAGATAGTGAAATATAGTCCATCTATGCAATGGAGTACAATTAAACTGTTAAAAGGACAATTGAATCTGACATGGAGTATCATCCTTGAAAGATTGTTAAATGAAAAAAAAAAAATCAGCTGCAAAACAGTGTGTCCAAATTTTGTGAGTTTTCTGCAGTTTGTTTATAGCAACTGCCCAAAATGAAGGGGGGCAGTCTTCTTGTACCACTTCAGAGGTGGGTGGCTTCCTCATGTCCTGTCTGTTTGGAGTTGCTTTGCTTTAGGCATTGATCCCTGCCATTCAGTTGCGGCCTACTAACCCTAGAGAGGCCTGTTTGCAAGGCTGGCTCTTGGTTGGCATCTGGGAACTTGAATTTCATGAAGAGCTGCCATCATTTTGAGAAGTCACAAGATCAGCTCACTAAGCCTTAACTGTCTGTACAAACAATGCTTTCCTTCTGGAAGTCTGGAATTTTGGTACATGCTGAGCAGAGGCTACCTACTAGGTGAGAAGCCCCCAGTAAAAATCGAAGGAAGCTGAGTCTCCTGTCTTCCTAGTCCTCCTGTCATCAACATCTCAGGTGTCTGGCAGGTATAGAACAACAATGCTGTATATGTCATGGGTGGTTTCGGTGCTTTAGTTATGATATTGCCTGTGGAAGGTCATTTTATATGCTGATTTCTAAGTTACTCCATCAGGAAGAGAGACTCATGACAACCTGGAAAAGAGGCTCAGTTTTCAAGGGAAGCTACAGAGTTCTGATTTTTCATGAATTCTCCAGAACTATCTGGGAAGAAATATGTTGGAATTGGTGACAATGATTACACAAAGAGAAAATTTTCAGCTCCATATTGACCTAACTAAACACAAATCAAACTGAGGAGTTCCACTTGTCTTTATATTAATTTTAATTCAACTAGAAACCTTCTGATTTTAATCTGCTTTCTTATTTGCATAGAGAGAATGTAAGTACCCAGTTGTTGGACAAACACTCCATATTCCTCAATGTGCTTTAACATTTAGCTACTCCGTATAAACCAGGAGCTTCTTATGTTCCCAGGGCCTGACCATCTCTTTCAGATCTGACCCTTGAGGATTCATAACCAGAGAACTGCAGAATCATCAGAATTTTCAGGTCAAACTTCAGTAGCCAGCCAGCCTTCCTCATCCAGTATTTCCTAAGAGAATGTTTCTTCACAAGGTTCTGTACAAGCATCGTATGCCTAGGAAATGCCTCCAGGAACTCAATAGGAGGCAATCTGAGAATATGCCTGCCTTTCTGTACAGCATGACTGAAATTCCATAGAAGTTAAGTAAGCAGTTACTTTTCCTATGTGTGACTCACAATCAGATAGGCCAGTCATTTGTTTCTGATAAATAATGACCCTGGGCTGGGCATGTATGGCTCATGCCTGTAATCCCAAGATTTTGGGAGGCTGAGGCAGGCGGATAACCTGAGATCAGGAGTTCAAGACCAGCCTGATCAACATGGAGAAAAACTCCGTCTCTACTAAAAATACAAAATTAGCAGGGCACATTGGCGTATGCCTGTAATCCCAGCTACTCGGGAAGCTGAGGCAGGAAAATCACTTGAACCAGGGAGGCGGAGGTTGCAGTGAGCCAAGATCGCGCCATTGCACTCTAGCCTGGGCAATAAGAGCGGAACTCCGTCTAAAAAAAAAAAAAAAGCTATGATCCTGTACAATGCAATCAGGTCAGGCAATTGCCAGGCACAAAAATGAAAGACAAATGTGGCTGAAGATAAACCATAGACCTGTGGCATGCCAAGGTTGGCCGTGGCACGGGTGCAAATTCAGGAGACTACTGGCTTTCTGAACACAGGCAGGGCTGTCAGGCAGAGTCACGCAGAAGATGAAGATGAGGCTGAGTCACCAGAAAACCCCAGCTGGTTTTATGACAGGATAAAGTGAGGGCTTGAGTTGTTTATACGCTTGTGAATATAAGACTTTTGGTAAAGAAGATTAAAAGCTGAGTCAATGTAGTAAAATCCTCAAATTAGAACTGGAGTTTATGTAAAAAATAAACTCAACTAATTAAAAACAGACCCAGTGATTAAAAACTTCGGCCATGGTATTCATACTGTGGGTATGAATATAGGATATATTGGCCAACAAGCATTTGATGAAACAAACTGGAAAGCAGCTCTCGGGATAAAGGTTTGAGAAGCTGGAGAGAAGGCTGAGGGGAAACTCCAGACACTTTCAAAGACATGAAGGATGAAGAAGTCCCACTGTTGCTTTCGCTGTGGATCACCCACAGGAAGTGGAAACAGACGGTAGCTAGAGGGACTGTAAGTCATCCTGGCTGGAGGAGCTGTGAGACAGGGGCTGCATTACAAGAGGAGGCTACAGAGGAATCTGGTGTGCACAGTTTTTTTAGAGACACAGTGTTATCTGAAAGAACAAAGAAGTGCTGCACGCACTGCCTGTCTCAGAGTTGGTCCTCAAGGAAAGTTTGTTGAGTGAAAAACAAAAAGCAGAGGGCCTCACAGGCCTGCTGAATGACAACCTCTTAGAGGTTGGGGTATACAGCTCTGGATGAGGGAATGCACTGGTTCATTAGTGTTGATCCAGCATTTACTAAGAATAAGAAACTGTGCCAGCCCTGAACAAGCTCAGAGATGTTAGTTCACTTATTTTTCTACCATTAAACCAAAGGTTGAGGTGTTTCTCACAATCTGAATTTGATGGTCATAACTGTGTTCTCGGAGACCATGACCCATAAAAGGCTAAGACCCAATCTACCTTAAATAATCACTCTGGTCCAGCCAGGCCATCAACTCAGTGGGCCCATACATTTTTCTGTTATTTCCAAAATCGTAACACTTATTCCATCATTTCTGCAGTCTAGAATTTCTTCTGCTTTTTGCTTTAAAACCTCATCACAGGCTTGGTTGGCTCGTGATTCCTGCATGGGATTTTCCTGACCTCCTCTGCTGCCCTAACCCAAGCTGTTTCCCTCTCTGCTCTGGACTCAAATCACACCAACTGTCTGTTTGACACACCTGGTCTCTGTTTACTGCCTTGGGCCTTGGATTAGTTTCCCATTGCAGCTCTAACAATTACCATAAACTCAGTGGCTTCAAACAACACAGATTTATTCTCTTATCGTCCTAGAAGTGACAAATCTGAGATGGGGCTCACTGGGCTAAAATCAAGGTGTTGGCTGGGCTGGGCTCCTTCTGGAGGCTCTAGGGAAAAAATCTGTTGTCTTGCTGTTTTCAGCCACTAGAGCCTGCCTGTATTCCTTGGCTTGTGGCCCTGTTCCATCTTTAACACCAACAATGGCCAGTCAAGTTTTTTGTCACAATGCATCTCTCTGGTTCTGACACTTCTGCCTCCCTCTTCCTGATTTAAGGACTTCTATTTACATGCTGGGCATGGTGGCTCAGGCCTGTAATCCCAGTACTTTGGGAGGCTGAGGTGGATAGACTGCTTGGGCTCAGGAGTTTGAGACCACCCTGGCCAACACAGCGAAATATTGTCTCTACAAAAAATACAAAAAAGTTAGCTAGGTGTGGTGGCACATGCCTATAGTCCCAGCTGCTTGAGGGGGGCTAAGGCAGGAGTATCACTCGAACCCAGGAGGCCAAGGTTATAATGAGCTGAGATTGTGCCACTGCACGCAAACCTGGAGGACCTGAGATCCTGTCTAAAAAAATAATTAAAAAAAAAATTTTTAAAGGACTCTTATTTTATTATTTTTTGAAACATGATCTCGCTCTGTTGCTCAGGCTGCAGTGCCACTAATCCTGGGCTCAAGCTATCCTTCTGCCTTGGCCTTCCAAAGTGCTGGGATTACAGGTATGAACCACCACGCCCAGCAAGGACCCTTATGATTACATGGAGTCCACCAGGATAATCCAGAAACATCTCGTTACTTTAAGGTCGGCTAATAGGCAACCTCAATCCCCCTTTTTCATGTAATATATCTAATGGTTCAGGGACTAGGGCATGAACATCTTTGGGAATGGGCTGAAAGGGATTATTCTGCCTACCACAGATGGGCAGTTCTATTTTTTCATATGTCTACATTTGATCTCTCCAGTCTGATGAGTCTCAAGTTCCTTGAACATGAGAGCAAAATGTCCCCTTATTCCCTAGCACCTAACGGTACCTGACAGGGGAGAGCTTTTCAGGTGTGCTAGTGGCCAATCCAAGTTGACACAAAAATGACTACCTTTAAAAAGCAACTTGATTCTCATCCAAGGCCCCTCTCCCTGCTAAACCACTCTGCACTGTGAAGTAGGTCCAGATTCTGAGAGTCTTGATGTGAAGCAATGTAAACAGCCATGCCTTTTGTGCATTACCTGAGTCTGCTGTATGAAGCATCAGCCATCGGATGGCAACATTACAGTCTCTTAGGCAGTTCAGAAGCCTTGGGATATTGTCCAGAACCATCTCCTCCCTTAAATAACCTTCCTTTAGAAATTGCTGCACTTGAGCATGCACTCTTTCACTGACAGTAGCATATCTGCTTGCCTGGAAAAGTCAAAAACTTCAATTACATTTAAAGAGTCATTTATCTTGAAAATAACTCACATTCAAATGAATCCACTGACAAATGGTAACATTTCTATATATGATGAATGACATATGGACTCCAGTTATAGGGCTCAAAGACAACATTTTATATAACATGAATGACATGGACCACAGTTATAGGGCTCGAAGACAAAATTTCTATATAACATGAATGACATATGGACTCCAGTTACAGGGCTCAAACATGAACATTTCCATATAATTTCTATATAAATAACATATGGACTACAGTTCTAGGGCTTGAAGACAACGTTTCTATATAAGATGAATAACATATGGACTATAGTTCTAGGGCTCAAAGACAACTGGCTTATTGAACATATTTTAAAAAAGCAATTGACTTAGAATTCTGAGACTACTTCCTAGTTCTGGCTGTGGATAAACTTTGGTGTGACTTGGGGCTTAACCCCTGTGTATGGGTTTCTTCAAATTTCCAACAAAGACTTGGACCAAGTAGTTCCTAAGAACTCTTCTATTCTTAACTTAGATGAAAAAGAAACGAAGGCAGAAGCTCAACTGCTTGTTCTTGCTAATACTGTTGACAAAGAAGGCAGAACAGAGCAGAAATACTTCAAAGTTAAGAGTTCTTCTACAGGTTTATGAGAGCTTAGCAAAAAATACACCTTAGTATATCAAAAATGAATTCCCAAACCAGCTTTTTGGAAATTTTGGTCATTCTGCTGTACTTTAAGCAAGTCAAATGTTAAACATCACTAACCTTGTCAAGTTAGTTTAAATCTATGGTATCAAGAAACCTCTTAAAAATGTCACAAATGAGAAAATGCAATTTTAGAAAGGGATTTTAGTAATGAAAAATTAATGTTCTGATGTTGGTAAGTATACAAGTGCCACTTTCTCTAATATAGTTCTAGGAGATGTGCCAACATTGAAATTGCTTTGTGCATTATTTATGGAATTCAATTTATTTGAATAGAACATGATGAAGTTTTTTTGAGTCAATATTGTTTTATCCACACAGGAAACTCAGTAACTGAGCCAGGATGAGGAACATAACCATTTAGAAATATCAAATATGCTCCCCAATAAGATTTTATCTTTATTCCTCTACTTACTCGGATGTTTCCTTCTGCCTTGTGTAAGAACAAAAGAGATAGAATATAAGCATTTAAACTTTAAGATGAATGTCTTGAGTCTTGTTGCTTATTTGGCACATCGGAAATGACAAATTTAAATTACAGTGACAGGACATATTATATGCATTCAGTTACCATCTTCATTCATCCTACTGATAAAAGCATGTTAATTCCAGCTATTGGTAAAACCAGCTTTGGCCATAAGAATACAGTCTTTAAGCAAAAGTAAACTGAGTCAATTGGGGCATAAGCCACGCTTTGTCTGAGGGTACTGAATCTTCCTTAGAATCCTAATCTTCAATTTACATATGCCATATAACTTAAAAACCTACGATCACTTATCTTATTCTAACCTATAAAATTCGCCTTTTATTTTTATTTTTATTTTTTATTTTTTTTGAGACGGAGTTTCGCTCTTGTTACCCAGGCTGGAGTGCAATGGCGCGATCTCAGCTCACCGCAACCTCCGCCTCCCGGGTTCAGGCAATTCTCCTGTCTCAGCCTCCTGAGTAGTTGGGATTACAGGCATGCGCCACCATGCCCAGCTAATTTTTTGTATTTTTAGTAGAGACGGGGTTTCACCATGTTGATCAGGATGGTCTCGATCTTTTGACCTCGTGATCCACCCGCCTCGGCCTCCCAAAGTGCTGGGATTACAGGCTTGAGCCACCGCGCCCGGCCGAAATTCGCCTTTTATTAATCACTGCATTAAATTGTCTAAGTGATTATTTTCCAAATTCCTTGGGAAATCTACTTAGCTTATTTGCTACTTCATAAACCAGGCCTGCAATTATTGGAGAATGTCCCTGGATTAGAACCTACCTGTTCTCTGACATTTGAAAGGTCCAAGGTATTGTTTAAAGCAGTTTTTGCAGCTTTATAAGGTTCCCAAGCATCTGCTAGATTAACTGTGATCCCCATGTAAATACTAATTACCTGAAAGAGGAGACATTCATTCAGTATTTGTTAACTTCCTACTCACTTCAAGGCAAGGGGATGGATACGTAAAAAGTTACAGAAGACAATACCCACTCCTTCACGGTTAAACTCCATTCCAACGAAAAATCAAGATTTTCCAAATGTATAGGTAAGTGTTCCTGATTGTTAAGTAAGTGTTCCTGATTGTTAATTCCCCCTTGTTAATAAAGGCCTCTTTATACCTATTAATGTTTCTTTTTGAAATTCTCTATCGTACAATATTAATGTATATTAATGTTTTCTCACCAGTTGTTTTATTGGTTGGCATTTTCCTGGGATATCTTTTTAAAAATCCCTTTCAGTGTGCCAGGGCATTTTTTTAGATGTGTATCTTATATGTTTCATGTAAATCGATTTTGATCTTTTTTTTTCTGAGATAGTAGTCTTGCTCTGTCGCCAGGTAGAGCAACCTCCATCGTCCAGGTTGAAGCTATTTTCCTGCCTCAGCATCTGGAGTAGCTGGGACTACAGGCACATGCAGCCATGCCCAGCTAATTTTTTGTATTTTAGCAGAGACGGAGTTTCACTGTGTTGCCTAGGCTGGTCTCAAACTCCTGAGCTCAGACAATGTGCCTGTGCCTGTTGCCTTAGCCTCCCAAAGTGCTGGGATTGCAGGCATGAGCCACTGCACCCAGTCTTGGTCTTTTTCAATAATAAGTATGTCTTTAATTATAGTGTCATGGTCAAAACTTCTTTATTAAACTCAGGAACATGAAGCCACACTATCAGTGTTTTCCTCTTGGTTGCTCAACTCCGAGCTCAGTAATATGATTCACAGTTGGCCAGGAACCATCACTTGCTAACGTAGGCAGTCCTCATACTACCAACAAATTGAAGGTCCCTCATAACAGACAGTTAACGTGATTCAAAGCTGATATAGAAGCAGAACAAAATCTGCTACCTACAATTATGATACAACTCACTGAATTTTGTGAAAGCCTCTTTGTGTAAAGAAAACATTTCACATATATTAAGTATAAAGCAAGTTTTATTCCTATAAGAATATTTTTGGCCAGGCATGGTGGCTCACACCTGTAATCCCAGCACTTTGGGAGGCTGAGGCAGGTGGATCACTTGGGATAAGGAGTTTGAGACCAGCCTGGCCAACATAGTGAAACCCCGTCTCTACTGAAAATACAAAAATTAGCCAGGCATGGTGGTGCACACCTGTAATGTCACCTACCAGGGAGGCTGATGCAGGAGAATCACTTGAACCTGGGAGGCAGAGGTTGCAGTGAGTTGAGATTGCACCACTGCACTCCAGCCTGGGCGACAGAGCAAGACTCCGTCTCAAAAATATATATATTTTAAAATGAAACAATGCTTACAAAGATACAAGCATATCCTTGCAATAATATAAACTTTAATAACTCATCACAGTTAGCTTATAGGTAAAACTTTATTATAAAAGTGAAATTCCTATTCACAAAGTGATGAATTAGATGAATTCAGCTAGCTTACATTCAGAAAACAGAATAATAAACAAATCCTTACACAACTTAGTTGTAATCTCAGAAGGTAAAACAAGATAAATTTTAATAAATGGTTTAATTTTGAGAGCATCCATTTTAGAAAAAGACTAATGGGTTCTTCAGGATATCTCCTGGCTCATATATTCCTTCATGTTACAATTACAAAATTTTCAATACACTTAGAGCAACTTTACCTAAGTGATGTTATGTCTTGTTATTTACAACATTACAACCTCTGGGTTAAAGGCCAAAAGAAAGGGAAATTAGTTCTCTAACACATTTACTGTAGGGGAAAAAAATTAGCAATACTTGCCCAATTATCTGGAAAATATTTATCCACGATCTCTCTCATTTTTGCTGGATGGGTGTGAAGAATGGAAGGGTCAAAGTAGAGAATCACATACAGCATGGCAGCTTGGTTTGCCAGGGCTGTGCTGCGATGCTCCGGCAAAGGATACGCTGAGACCTGCAATATTGAGACAAAACCCCAGGAGGGAGCTGTTGGCAATATTTGCGTGTAGACATGCTCAAATTAAACTCTCTGGTTGTAGGACACATCAGTTTCTCCAAAGCCCATCACCTTTCAGGATCCTGGACACTGGAAGCCATTCTCAGACTGTGCCACTGCTTGCCAAGATCTTCCTTCTTATCCTTAATCCCATAATATTCTCTTCCTTCCAGCCCTTGACTCTACTGCAAATCTAAGTCTTCTCTTAAGAAAAAAAAAGAAAAAAAGTCCCATCCCTGTGTCTCCCACCACTTGTCCTTTGTCGTATCTTTCCCGTTAGAGACAATTCTTAGAATTGATAGGCTCTACCAGCTGTTGCTATTTTCTCACTTTCTGTTTATTATTCAACTCGCTGAAATTTGACCTCCAACATCATCCCCGTGGAATTCCCTAAGGTCGCTCACGACCTCACAACTATCCAATTTGCCAGCTTCTTTTAGGACTCCCACTTAAATTCTCTGAGGAATAAAACCCTCTCCTCCTCTGGTTTCCCAGATACCACTCTCTCTTCTCAATCTCCTTTGCTGGGTCCTTATCTTCTAATGCAGTTGTTCCCTAGGGGTCCATCCCCTCATGTACTAGAAATCTGGGGCCGCACACAGCATATATTAATTACCTTGAGCTCCCATAAGCAAGAAGGAGAGACATTGTTATAAGGACAGACATAGCCATGTCACATGAAACCTGCAGGCAGCAATGTGGCCAGGCCACAGGCAGTGGCTAGGACTGGAAACCAAAACGCCTTCTTTCTCCCCCTGATGTGTGGGCCCAACTTTTCTCTCCCTCCAGGCTACTCTCCATATACAAGGCAGAATGAGGCTGCCTGCAGACTCCCAGTTTTGCATATTGTAGGTAAACTCCATTCCAGAAACTGGTTCTCAGACCCAATTCCAGATTACCCGGAGACAGAGAATCTGATCTATCAGCTATGACCAGGAATGGGGGAGGTGTAGGACAGAGAGTGGGGTGAACACATAGAACAACCACAATTGAACCTTTGTGCTAATAAATAATAAAGGTCATGGGGCAAGGAGAAAATAGAAACACACTTGCTTTCAGAAAGACGTGGAATAAGAGGTGATCAGGAATGAGACACTCTGAATTCACATGGACCAAATTCAAATTATGGCTCTGCTACTTAGTAATAGGAACTCGAGGAAATTATTTAAGCTCTCCAAGTCTTATTTTGCTCAACAGCAACATGGGGATAATGCCATCTACTTTACAGGGCTGTTGTGAGGAACAGAGAAATGGTATAGGAACAAAAACCTCCTTTGTGGCTGGTTTGGACTGAATTCTCAGTGAAAGGCAACAATTATTACAGAGACTTGGCATCTGCTGATTTTGAATTGTCCTAAAACAACAACCAAAAAAAACCCTCTTATTTATACTTAACATATTCACACAAAAAACTAACAAGTTACCTAAAGAACTGCAAAGATCAGGTTCATTCTGTGATAAATGATATCCACAGTTATCACAGGCCTCTTTACTCCCCCACCTTTCTTTTTTGAGACAGTTTTGCTCTTGTTGTCCAGGCTGAAGTGCAACGGTGCGATCTCGGCTCACCAACACCTCCACCTCCCAGGTTCAAGCAATTCTCCTGCCTCCATCTCCTAAGTAGCTGGGATTGCAGGCATGTGCCACCACACCCAGCTAATTTTGTATTTTTAGTAGAGATGGGGTTTCTGCAAGTTGGTCAGGCTGTTCTCGAACTCTCAACCCCAGGTGATCTGCCCGTCTTGGCCTCCCAAAGTGCTGGGATTACAGGTGTTAGCCACCGCACCTGGCCTCTTTACTCCCTAATAATAATTTTTACAAATATTTAAAAATATAACATTTAAAATTATGTTTTCTTCAGAACAATGAAGTCAAATGGTAATTTTCTTTGGTATTGTTTAAAGAAAGTGAATAATACTACACATACTGGCAAGGGGATTGGGACAATTTTCAAATGCTGCTTGATCTTTACAGCCTTGCTCAGGTTGCCTCCTTTCCTGGACTCTTCTTACCTTCCTTTTGTCACCTGTTGTGACCTTGCTGTCACTGTTGCATGCTCTAATGGCACCCTTTGCTTCCCCTAAGATAACACCCATCCTGCTTTACTATAATCTTGTCATCTGTCCTTCCTAAGCTACAAGCTCAGTATGAGTAGGGATGTGGCCAGGCTTCTTCGGTGATGGGTCCCCAGCACCTGGCATGTGAATGGGCACATATCACACATTCAACAACTACTTCTTGAATGAATGACTAAAATAATGCATCTTCTTCCCAATAGCTCAAATCCCATCTTCTCCCTGAAACCTCTAATTCTGCCAAAATTAATAACCCTCTTTCCTTTATCATCCTGGAGCACAGCTCAAAAGGTTTTAAAAAGTTTCTAGCTGCTTTCACTCTTTTGGAAAAGAAAGAAGGAAAGGAGTAATTAAAGAGGGAAGTGAAATCAGTCTGTTAAACTGTCTTAATAGGTCTTAACAGATTTAATTCCCACCTGGTTGTAAATATCATCAGATCTCAGTCGACCAATGACCATACTGATGAAGGATTCGTTGATAGGCACTCTCTGGAAATAGCTCTCGGGATAGTTGGGTGGTCTTTTGGCACCTGGTTGGCCAGAATAACCTGTACTTCGAAGCAGCTTACAAATATCATCCATATTTGAATCAGCAGAAGATCGCGCAGCACTGAGTCATATTCACAATGGGAAACAAAGGCCCAAACCACACATATTAGAAACTGAAAAGTCCAAAAAAGACAAGAATTCCATTCTACTTCGACTCAATACAGTTTTAGATATGACCATAGATCCATCTATATCCTCAAGATTCAAAATTATGTGTGTGCGCGTGTGTGTCACACACACACACACACACTTATACACATGAGTGCAGTGGCGTGATCTTGGCTCACTGCAACCTCTGCCTCCAGGTTAAGGCAATTCTCCTGCCTCAGCCTCCCGAGTAGGTGGGATTACAGGCAACTGCCACCATGCCTGGCTAATTTTTGTATTTCAGTAGAGATGGGGTTTCACCATGTTGGCTAGGCTGGTCTTGAACACCTGACCTCAACTGATCCGCCCACCTCAGCCTTCCAAAGTGCTGGGATTACAGGTGTGAGCCACCGTGCCTGGCCTCAAAATTATAGTTTTGAAAGCCTGTTTAGAAGATGGGTATTCATACTATGTAAAGGTCCATAATCCCTTTTCCAAAATCTGTGGGACTGGATTTGTTTCAGAATACAGCATTTTTCAAATATAAGAAAGTAATATGGCACATAGATCATATACAATATATATTATATACAGTATAACACTCCAGCAGGGTCTGAATTGGCATCCCATGATCAACATAGGTGAATAATTCTGGAGGAAAATTTATGAATACTTACAAAAGTGAGATAAGTGAAGACTATATATAGCCCTCATATCTGTTCCAGGCAAGTTTTGAATCCAAATGATTACAGATTAGACCAGGTTTTGCTGCCAAATGAATTACTACATATATGTACATGTGTGTTGTGTATGTACTTGTGAATATATGTTTTTTCACAGCTCTTTGGATTTGAAAATCGTGGATAAAGAAGGTGAACCTGACATTTATTATGTCAATTCAAATTGAAATATATACTAACTTTTTTCTTGGCAGGCTGTTCTTTCTACAGAGATCTAATATACATGTCTGTGATTTTCAGGGTGGAATAGTAAGCTCTGAAAGAAATGAACTAGATTCAAAGAATCTGAGACTTGGAGATGATCTCCTATTTGCTGTAAGAATCTCTTTTGCCATGACTGTGACTTGGAAGTGTTCAGTGTCACTTCAATAATGAATGCTCACATTCTAATGAATTAGATGTTGTAAAGCCGTATTTTCAAACTGGGCTTGATAAGCCAATATTTTTTTCTTCTTCTTTAGACTATTTATAGTTTTTGTTTTTCCAGGTACTCTCAGAAATATAGGAAAGGCCATTCAAATCTCATTTTCAAAATCAGGGGTGTTAAAAACAGCTTGGTCAGCCAGGTGCGGTGGCTCACGGCTGTAATCCCAGTACTTTGGGAGGCTGAGGTGGGCAGATCACAAGGTCAAGAGATCGAGACCAGCTTGGCCAACGTGGTGGAACCCCATCGGTACTAAAAATATGAAAATTAGCTGGGTGCGGTGGCCTGCGCCTGTAGTCTCAGCTACTCGGAAGGCTGAGGCAGGAGAATCGCTTGAACCTGGGAGAGGGAGGTTGCAGTGAGCTGAGATCATGCCACTGCACTCCAGCCTGGCAACAGAGCGAGACTCCATCTCAAAAAAAGAAATACAGCTTGGTCAAACTGACATGAATGATCACAGATAGAAAACTCCCTTCCAATACTGATACAGCTGAAAGGAAAAGTCTAGTTGAGGAGCCTAAGATTAATTTCCTGCTGAGGACACAGTAGTAACTGGTATTGCAAAAGTATAACGTCCCCAAAGAACCCCTTCTCCTTGAGAGTCTGCCTGTTTGTTCTAATTTTTAAGTTTGAAAATGTTAATTCTACTCCTTCTCTCTTTAGCTCAAGCTCCTAATTGACTCCTTCTTAGTGACAGTTTTTTCTCTGAAACTTCACTATTTCCAACACTGACCTGGTATTCCATTTTTAGCTCATTCCACAAATTGAAAACCTGTGTGTTAGATACTAAAATTAAAAAGCTGGTTAAGGTGGCTCCTGGTTTCAAAACCTTACTTCCTGAAGAATCACAGTTCTGTTTAGATAGACACAACAAATAATTGTGGATGTGTGCTGTTGCTTGATTTGTTTTTGTTTCTATGCAAATATTTGAGAGATTCATTTTCAACCTGCCTCTGAATGACAACTTTTCAAAGTCATCAAGCTGAAAATGACAACAGAAAGTACACTGATTCCTTATATCTGCCAAGGAATTTCTAGCTGCTTTTACTCAAAAACAAAAACAAAAATGACCTTCATTAGATTTCTAAGACTCTTTGAAATTTAGCCTCAAGGTAAAGAAAGTTCACAATATAGACTCCTTTTTAAAACTGTATTTATCATTAGGGATGGTATAATCCATACCTATAATAATCTATAATATATAGAATATTTTATATGTAATATATAGATTTTAAAATCTATAATCTATTATGAAATATAATAGGGCATAATTGTTATATTCCTAAAATATGCTCAGAAGAGATAAGAATCTTACACTTTTGTTTTTGAGAGAGTCTTGCTCTGTTGCCCAGGCTAGAGAGTGCAGTGGTGGGATCTTGGCTCAGTGCAACCTCCACCTCCCAGGTTTAAGCAATTCTCCTGCTCAGCCTCCCTAGTAGTTGGGATTACAGGAACCCACCACCACGCCCCGCTGATTTTTGTAGTTTTGGTAGAAACAGGGATTCACCATGTTGGCCAGGCTAGTCTCGAACTCCTGACCTTAGATGATCTGCCTGCCTCAGCCTCCCAAAGTGTTGGGATTATGGGCATGAGCCACCGCACTTAGCCGAACTGTATGAGACAGAGTCTCACTCTGTCGCCAGGCGCCAGGCTGGTGTGCAGTGGCGCGATCTTGGCTCACTGAAACCTCTGCCTCCCAGGTTCAAGAAATTCTTCTGCCTCAGTCTCCCCAGTAGTTGGGACTACAGGGGCACACCACCACACCCAGCTAGTTTTTGTATTTTAGCACAAAAATACCATGTTGGCCAGGATGGTCTCAATCTCTTGACCTCGTGATCCGCCCACCTCAGCCTCCCAAAGTGCTGGCCACCATGCCCGGCTGGAATCGTATACTTTCTTATCCATTTTTTTATTACTGCTGTTCACAGTACAAGGAGTATGGGAACGTAAACTGCATTTTACCAACAGCAGTGTTTTGGAAGTACAATCCTAGCCCAGGAATACCTGTATCGGTAGTAAGAAACCAGCATCCTCTCTCTGACTTCTCCTTCAATCTTTTGGTCAATGACCAGCAGCATAACTCCATATAAGTACAGTGCTTCACACTGAGAAGAGGACAAAAGCCAAAATCACAGGATTATACATCCTTAGGGAGTAAAGTTGGTAATCATTAAAAATATCACATTTCTGCCAAAAGTTTCAGATTTCAAGGAAAAGGTAGGTTTCCTTCAAAGAGCTCTTACCTTCTTGCAAAATGGGCCTTGAAGTTTATGTGAAATAGAGTTTAATTCCCAGTGATGATCTTTCAGTTGGCCTATTTTGGCTCTTTTGCTTGGGACACCAAAACAGTATCCCAATATTATGAATACCTCTTCATCATAAAGTCATTCACTTATTCAATAAGCATTTCTCAAATGGTCAGTATGTACTAGGCACCAGGAAAGATGCCTGGGATGCAGAAAGTAAGACAGAATTCTTACAACGAGGACGCTTATAACTTCCACATAACTTTTAATTGTTTTGAATTCTGTTCAAAGTCCATGTTCTAAACTCAGATATGGACCTGCCAATTCGAAGATAATTAAAAGCTCATTTCACTTCTCTTTAAAGAATGGTATTTCATATGTATTTGTGAATTAAAGGGAAAAAGAAGTGGTACTAAGTTTGCTATTCTTGAATTTCATTTTAAATAATCACTATTACTTACCAGAAGTTGTTTTCCATCCTCATTGAGAAGCACGGTTTCTAAGGTTTGCTGAATATAAACCCCTTCATTGAGATCATCTAGATATCTAGAAATAAAACCCCAGAGCAAGTTATTAATTTATAATAGAAACTTTAACATCTTTAAAGAAGGAAAGATTTTTCAAAGATGAGGCAGGATATCAGGCATTCTGGCCTTTAACTAGTTCATGGTCCTTCATGTTCTTAAGAATGGAGTCTTATAAACTGATTTAGGGCCACCGTTTGATATTTACGGCTGTTACAAATAACACAAATATTCCCTAATCCTGATTTATGAATTACAAGTATCTAGGAGTAAAGGCAGAAAAACATGGAATATCTATCTAGTTTAAAAGTTAATGAGTAATGAATTCTTAAGAAATATAGAAGAGACAGAAAGTTAATGATAAAAATAAGTTCTTTTTCCCAATTTTCACATATAATACACTAGAATATGATAATAAATGACAGGATTGGAAGCTCTATGACTTGGCATAAACTATGTTTATTATGATACCTCACAAGAGCAGGACATTATAGTAAAACTTTAAAATTCTTAAGATGACCTAGTGCCACAGGAAGAACAAGACAACTATATATGGTATAAACTAGGAAATTGTACAGTAACTCAGAGAGATTTACATGTTGTTGTGTGTCCTGTTCCCTCTCCACTATTTACTACCAGAATAAGCTATTACTAAATTGACCAGTACCTGTTTAAGTCTACAATATATTTATGCACACTTTGAAATGCTAAATAAAATCTGGTCACGATTTCTATGTTGTTTTCACGAAATTCTTCATCTAAATCCTGTAGCTCTGGTTTAGCGTCCAGTTTGCTTTCCCATAATTCTGGACCCTAAGGAAAAAAAAAAAAACACATCTATGGGAAATGTCAGTAAAAGCATACTTGTTGGTGACAATTTCTACAGAGTCTTCTAAAAATTTGTTCTTATGTTCTTAAATATCTCAAACTTAAAGCGGAGCAACAGAAAGCAATGAAGATAACAAAAGCCTAGATATAAAATTCCTTTGAGAAAAGTGAACTTGAATTGCAACCAAGAGTAGCATGCTTTGAGTATGGGGCCCTTCCATGTGAAATATCAAAGTTATCTTTTAAAAATACAATTATATTGTGTTAGGGCTTTCACACAATATCTTCAACTTACTTTCAAGTTAGTAGCTGTTATTAAATTCAGTCCAAAAGCTTTTCTCTTTAGCTTTTTCCATAATTACCTATCCTTAACTGAGTTTCATGGTTCCCAGAGAAAACATGCTTTTGCAGAAAAGACAACCATAAAAATGCCAGAGGAAGATTACCTTAAAATAGCTGAAATCAAATATGATATCTCCATATTTCTGTTGATCAGCTCTGTCTTTTAACCTGAACACAGCAGGAATAAACTCAGAGAGCCTTAAAAGTTCAGCAATGATGGCATTACCACAGGACACAATCCTTAGGATTGCTTGGCCACAGAGATTGTTCTCAGCTAGAAAGTCCACCATTGTGAGCAGGACTGACTACTCCGTGCCTGGACACTGGGTATGATTAACTGGCCTCAGAGCTGGTGTCTGTAGATTATTAGATGGAACCAGGTGTGCAGAGAGATTGGCTGCTCCATTAAAGAACCTGTATCCAAAAAAAAAAAAAAGTATGAAAATCTCAATTTATTCCTGCAGGTTTGCTCAGCTGTGTCAAAGAAGAAAAAAAAAAAAAGGAAATCTCAATTTAAGGAAGAACATGTGTACCCATATGAAACACATAACATTTTTCTCCAAAACTCACTAAAAAAATTGTAAGAAATAATGAGTTCCTTTATGGGGTAAAGAGTATTTATCCTTTACTCTTCACATTTGTCATGTGGAGGGACTTTGCTGGATTGACACTCTTGGCCTCTTCTTCAACATGTTAGTCACCTCTCCTCTTGAGAAAAAGGTATGATATAGCTCATCACTGAGCTAGCGAGAAGGAACCCCTGGGCATGTGTGGCTTCAATGTACCCCACTGCTATCTAATCTCAGAAGTGGTATCTTTCATTTCTATCCTATTTCCTCTTTTCTTTTTTTTTTTTTTTCCTTGAGATGGAGTCTCACTCTGTCACCCAGGTTGGAGTGAGTGGTGCGATCTCAGTTCAGTGCAACCTCTGCCTCCTGGTTCATGGAATTCTCCTGCCTCAGCCTTCTCGAGTAGCTGGGATTACAGGTACATGCCACCACACCTGGCTAATTTTTGTATTTTTAGTAGAGACAGGGTTTCACTATGTTGGCTACGCTGGTCTTGAACTCCTAACGTCAGGTGATCCTCCTGCCTCAGCCTCCCAAAATGCTGGGATTACAAGAATGAGCCACCACACCTGGCCCTATTCTCTCCTTTAGGAGAGAGTCAGTAAGTTAGCTTATACTCAAGAGAAGGAACCTACATAGGACATGAATACCAGGAGCCAGAGATCATTAGGGACCGCTTTAGAAGCTGCTGACCATCTGACATACCCAGGTGAAAGAACCCTGTGGAGGAGCTCATATGACAAGGAACTGGGGCTTGCCAAAACCACCTGAGTGTATATTAGCTATCTGCTAATATATATTAAGGCATACATTATTAACAAGTTCTTTTAGTTTCCTCTGTGATGCTTACTTGTTAAACCACAACAGGCTGAATTTCAGAAAATTTCATTTTCTGCATGGATATGGTCTGGCTCGGGAAAGGAGAGAGGGAAAGGGGAAATAATGGACAATGGGCAAAACAGTCACCTACTAAAGCCCTCTGAAGACCACCAAACTAACCCAGGTCTAAGTAGGATGAAACTTTACACCAGGGGTGTCCAATCTTTCAGCTTTCCTGGGCCATATTGCAAGAAGAACTGCCTTGAGCCACACTTAAAATAAACTAACACCAACAATAGCTGATGATCTTTTAAAAAATTGCAAAAACACTCAAAATGTGTTAAGAAAATTTACAAATTTGTCTTGGGCCACATTCAAAGCCATCCTGGGCCACATGTGGCCTGCAGGCCTTGGGTTGGAAACCCTTGATCTAGACTCATGAAGAGGAGGGGAAGCTATGATGAACAGGTCCAATGGCTACCAGATTTTGGATAACATGACAGGGCAACAGTGTCCCTGGGAAAAACATTTTACAGCAAAGTAACATTTACCTGCCCTTGACTCTACTCTCTCCCAACATACAGAAGGACAGACAGACTCAGTACCTGCATGCACACATTCAGGGAAGCTTCAGTCTGGGATAATGACAGAGATCAAGACCTTTATATGTGAAGCTCTTATTTTAATCCTTAGGCCCTTACTCTAGAATTATACTGTAGACGACTTTAAAGGAAGATGAGAAGGGTAATAATCATCAAATTATGTTTGGCAATAGTAAAACAAATATTATGGGTCTTTATTACCTAGGTGAATCGCCTTTCTAAAATTCTATATATAAACTTTATATTAAATTTTTTAATGCCAAAGCAAAATATGAATTATATTTAACATACTTTTACTGAAATGAACTCACTGCTTGTAATCTCTTTTGCCCCATGAAGAGCACTTGTGTTTTCTATTCCTAATAATGCAAGTATCTCCTGCTAAGTTTTTGAAGATGGAAGGAGTTAAAACAAGATTAACTGAAAGAAAGAAATCACTTAGTTATATTTTATGTACTAGACCTCCTAACCTGGACTAGTTATATTTTCCATGCAACAAATGGAATTTCCATAATTTGCACAAATATAATTGGCTAGAGTATTTGGTAAATAGCCCTCTGTTGGTTGAAGTACTGGTGGTGAAGAACAGAATCTAAGAATCATCATTAAAAATGCCTGGCCAGGAGCAGTGGCTCACACCTGTAATCCCAGCACTTTGGGAGGCCAAGGTGGGCAGATCACATTAGGAGATTGAGACCATCCTTGCCAACATGGTGAAACCCCGTCTCTGCTAAAAATATAAAAATTAGCTGGTCATGGTGTCGCATGCTTATAGTCCCAGCTACTCAGAAGGCTGAGACAGGAGAATCCCTTGAACCCAGGAGGTGGAGGTTGCAGTGAGCCGAGATCAGAGATCATGCCACTGCACTCCAGCCTGGTGGCAGAGCAAGATTCCATCTCAAAAAAAAAAAAAAAAAAAAAAAAGCCTAAGCAAGTTGTAGCTATCTAAGAAGTAGATGGATAGCTTTACAAACTGTTATGACTCAGTTAAGTCTTAAAAAAATCACTTTAGAATTAGGTCCAAATAAACACTGTAGAACAAGCAATGCTAAATTACCCTTTCAGAGGTTCTCTTGGTGCTAGGGATTAAGAAAACTCTGAAAGATCCGTTTTCTCAATACAGGCTATATCACCATTGGCATCAAATGGAACCAGAGATCCCACTATATTTTCTTTTAAAAGAGTGCTGGCAACTTCATTTTTAAGAATTTGGCATGGAACTGTGATTTTCAGCTTGGGAGGTAATCCTAATCAAAAGACAAGCTTTCAAGAATGAAGCATGGTATCATTACACCAATTACTCTGAGTACAGAACAATATTTCTTAAGGATATCCAACTGCCGTGGGAAGACACTGTTTACCCTATTCAGAGGATTAAAAAAGGCAGTTCTTATTTTTAAGCCTTTCGCAAAACCTCAGTTCCATAAAGGAAGCACTAATCCCCATAAATCCATTATCACAAACAAAATATAATGGTTGTTGATCAAGATAAATGCAAGCTGCATATGTTTTCCAGAAAAGTTCTGAAATGAGGCTGATCCTGAAATCCTGGGAAAGGCAGGTGAAGGACAATCAGAGAAGGTGTCCCTTGCTGTGCACAAAGACAGTAAGTAAAACTTCTCGCTCACTACCGCTTACTGATGTTTGAGGGAGCTCCATGCACTTGCAATCAGGAGACCCAGTTGCATGGCTCTGTGACTTTTTTCTTTTTCCTGTCCGATCATAGACGAATCAGGACCCTGGGAACATTTTTCTCCCCAAAAATGAAAAGGATTTTGGCATGAGTTCGTCACAGGTGAAGGCATTAAGGTGCAGCAAACAGCAATGACTTGCCCAAACTCACAGCCCATGGCATAACTAGAATGCAAATCTGGGCCCGTCAGACTGTAAAAGTCCTCACTAGCTTTTCAGTTTTCTCAATAGCAAATAGAGAAATAACGACGATATTCACACAGCAGTGTTCCCGGAAACTTGGGAGGGTGAGATTCGGACCAAGCAGCGGAAAGGTGCTTCCTAAAGCGAGGAAGGGGAGTGCAAAATGATTCCCCCCGAGCGGAGACGAAGAGCTGGACTGCAGCCCCCGCCCCAGAAGACCCCTAAGCCCTCCATCCCAAGTCTCCCATCCAGGCTGCACGCGACGCTGCAAACCCCCCAGTGGCTAGCGCGGCCCAGCGGGGAGGGGAAGGGGGCACTGCAAAAAAGGGGCGCGCGCACTGCATCCCCACTCACCTGTCAGCAGGGCCGCGCCAGCGGCGCAGGCGCAGGGCAGGCGGTCGCGCGCGGAGTCTGCACCTGGGTCCCACACCTCCCTCACGGTGACGGTCCTCTTCTATCCACAGTCCCCGACCGGGAGCGGGTCCGAGTACCGCTTCCGCCCCCTGACGCCGAAGGTTGTCACATGACCGAAGCGGCGGGGAGCAGGCAGGGGCGTCATGTGATCACTCGCCGGCGACGGCTGATGACGCAAGAGCCCGCGCTCACTTTGCAGCCATAGGCGAAGGGGGATGAGGAAAGGAGGTGGGTCCAGGTGGGGGAAGTTGGTGTGGCACCAGACGGAGACAGCTCAGGCAGCCAGGTAGGGCGAAAGCGGGGGGCAGCGTTGGGGAGGGTGGTGGGAGTTGTCGCCTCCCTCAGGGGCGCTCCACGGGGACCCAGAGCCGGGAGTCCGTCGACCTGGGTCATGGTTGTGGCACTTTTCACGCCACAATAGTGAGTCTGGGACAGTTTACCCTCCAGTCCGAGACGCCATCTCCATCCTTTACCCCCAGGTGCGGAGGGTAGGGGCAAGACCACGGATTTTTGATCCAAATAGATCTAGTTTGAACTGACTTTAAAAGCAAGGCCACGGGCAGGTCATTTGAATAAACTATGGACCTCTTTCCTCTTCGCTTATGTAGATTGCACTGAGAATTGGCGATAAGGAGAATGAAGTGCCGGGACACCAGTATATGGCATTCTAGGTGACCTAGAAATGATGATGTCTGTTGTTATTTTTGTTACTTGCCAAATCTTTATTGATCCCCGATTTTGTGTAAGAAACTGCTTTATATGCAATAGAATATATCAGGGTTCTAGTTTTAAGAAGTTCTCAGAATAAAGGAGCTGCAGACATGTGAACAAATAGCTGTGATGTGTTTCATAGTAAGAGTATGTTGTGTGTATGTGCACGTGATATGGATAATGGTAGCATGAGGGTAGGAACAGGCGATTGTATGAGAGAAGGATTCAGAGAGAGGGGTATATCCTTGCATGTTGAAAAAGGAGATACAGCTTTTGCTGACTTGTACAAGGCTCCCACGGATTTAAAGGAAATCAACATACTGTCTATAAATAACATGCAGAGAAAAAAACTCAGGAAATGCACAGCCTTGTTCTAAACTTTCTTGGAGATCATAGGTACTGGGAAGAAAAGATTAGTGTTATTAGCTGGGGAGGTATCCAAGAGAGATTGATTTAAACCAGTTATTCTCACCTGACGCCCTCTTGACATTTTAGGCTAGATTTCTTTTTTGCTGTGGGGTTGTGATGAGGACTGTCCTGTGTACAGTAGGATGTTTAAGAGCATCCCTGGCCTCTGCTTACTAGATGCCAACCGTAATGTCTACAGATACTGCTAAATGTCCCTTAGGAGAAGGGTAAACATCTTTCTTGGTTGAGAACCACTTAAACCAAGCGATGAAAGACGGTGTCTTAGTCAATTTGGGATTCTATAACAGAATGCCATAAACTAAGTAGCTTATGAACAACAGAAATTTATTTCTCACAATTCTGGAGGCTGGAAAATACAAGGTCAAGGTGCCAGCAGATTTGATGTCTGGTGAGGGCCTGTTTCCTGGTTCATAGGTGGCTTCTGGCTGTGTCCTGACATGGTGGGATGGCAAAGCAGCTCTCTGGAGCATCTTTTAAAAGGGCACTAATTTTACTCATGAAGGTGGGTTGGATCACCTCCCAAAAAAGCCCAGCTCCTAATACTATCACCTTGGGAGTTAGGATTTCAACATATAAATTTTGGGTGACACTAAGACTTTAACATATGGGTGAGGTGTGGGCAGATAGAAAACTGAAAAGAGGGCCAGGCATGGTGGATCATGCCTGTAATCCCAGCACTTTGGGAGGCCGAGGCGGGCGAATCAAGACCAGCCCTGCCAACATAGCAAAATCCCATCTCTACTAAAAATACAAAAAAATAAAATTTTAACCAGCGTGTCCTGGTACACACCTGTAATCCCAGCTACTTGGGAGGCAGAGGCAGGAGAATCCCCTGAACCCAGGAAGTGGAGGTTGTAGTGAGCTGAGATCAGGCCATTGCACTCCAGCTTGGGTGACAGAGCAAGACTGCCTCAAAAAAAAAAAAAAAAAAGGAAAGAAAGAAAAGAAAATTGAAGAGAAGGTTTTCTCACAGTGGGAGCAGGATGAACAAAGTCCTTTTTTTCCCTTTTGGAGACAGCATCTCACTATTGCCCAGGCTAGAGTGTGGTAGTGTGATCATAACTCACTGCGGCCTCAGACTCCTGGGCTCTAGGTGTCCTCCCACCTCAGCCTCCCAAGAAGTTAGGACAGTAGGTACAAGCCACCATGTCTGTGTAAGTTTAAATATTTTTTTTTTTTTTTAGAGATGGGATCTTGCTGTGTTGCCCAGGCTGGTTTTGAACTCCTGGCCTCAAGCAATCTTCCTCCCTTGCCCTCCCAAAGTGCTAGGATTATGGGCATGAGCCACCATGCCCAGCCTGAACAAAGTGTGGAGCTCGGATTAAGACTGTTGGGTATGAATGGGAGAATGAAAGAAGAGAGCTGTGCATTTGACTGAGGCAAACAGTTTATTCATTTATTGACTATTTTCAGAGCACTAGCTGTGAAGCACAGTGAACATCTTTCAAGGTAATCACTAACAAAGTAGAGTGAATGCCAAAGGCTTTAATTATATTAAAGAAGGTGCTGGTAGAGTCAGAGAAGAGAGTTGTCTTTGCCTTGTACTTAGCCTATTTATTGGGAGAAATTGAGAAAAGTATGTCTATTCCATCTTTCTGCACCATCCATTGTCTTTGCTTCTCAATCCAATCTCAGTCTTAATCTTTTCCCTGCTCCGGAATTACAGAAGAGCAGGATCATTTTTTCCTTGGTCCTCTGCAAGAGTGAAGTTTCACTCAAGGAATGTGAGTTTTGCATTCATGCAAATAGTAACAGCCACCATTTGGTAGCTACTTTCCATTTGTACTGAATTGCATTAATCTTCTTAGATATTATGTCTTTGTTCAGGCTGCTATAACAGAATATCATAGTTTGGGTGGCTTAAACAACAGAAATTTATTTCTTGCAGTTCTGGAGGCCAGAAGTTCAAGATCAGGTTGCCAGCATAGTTGAATTCTGGTGAGGACTTTCTTCTTGGCTTGTAGATGACTGCCCTCTTTCTGTGTCTTCACGTAGTCGGGACAGAGAGATAGAGCAATCCCTGGCATCTCTTCCTTTTCTTTTCTTTTCTTTCTTTCTTTTTTTTTGCAAGACAGGGTCTCACTCTGCTGCCCAGGCTGGAATGCAGTGGCGTGATCATGGCTCATTGCAGCTTCAACCTCCTGGCTCAAGCAATCCTATCACATCTCCTAAGGAGCTATGATTACAGGCATGCACCACCACACCCAGCTAACATTTTATTTTCAGTAAAGACAGGGTCTCACTTTGTTGCCCAGGCTGGTCTTGAACTTCTGGGTTCAAGCCATCCCCACATTGGCCTCTCAAAGTGCTGAGATTATAGGCTAGGCATGAGCCACCTTGTCCAGCCAAACTAACCAGATCTTACATAATTAGTACACATGTGTCTAGTGCTTATCATGTGGGACAGTGCAGACTATAGAACGTTTTCATCACGGAAAGTTCTATTGGACAGTGCTGACCTAGTCAATTTAGACTTACACTAGAATCAAGAGTGACTTGAAAACTGAATACTTCTGCCAAGCATGGTAGCTCACGCCTGTAATCCTAGCACTTTGGGAGGCCAAGGTGGGTGGATCATTTGTGGTCAGGAGTTCAAGACCAGCCTGGTCAACATGGTAAAACCCCCTCTTTACTAAAAATACAAAAATTAGCTGGGTGTGGAGGTGGGTGCCTGTAATCCCAGCTACTAGGGAGGCTGAGGCAGAAGAATTGCTTGAACCTGGGAGGCAGAGGTTGCAGTGAGCCAAGATCACACCATTGCCACTCCAGCCTGAAGGACAAGAGCGAAACTCCATCTCAAAAAAAGAAAAAAAAGAAAAGAAAAGAAAACTGAATATTTGAATTATATCATTTGGTCCTTGCAGGTATGTGGTTTTTGATTAATAGATAGTCCTGCAACAGATAAACCCCAGAAATCTAAATGGCTTTGCCCAGTTGAATTTTCTTTCATGCATGGAGCCTTATAGGTGAGTAGTTTTCCTGCAAGCAGTGATGTAGGGCCCTAGGCTCCTTCCATCTGGTAATTCTCCATTGTCAGTATGTAGCTTTACTAAGGTCATTGTGCTTGCCTGCATCAAGCTATCAAATGGGAAAGTGTGGGTTTTCATAAATGACGCCTGGAAATGGCTCACATTTTATTAACTTGGGTGCAGTCATGGGCCACATCTAACGTCAAGGAAGGCTGCAAAATGTGGTGCATGTATAAGTATATGACTAGGTTGAAGAGGAAATGGGTTTGGTGGGCACCTAACCAGCATTTGTTACGAGTGTTTGGTCTTTAGCCTGCCCTGGGAAATAGTCTCAAGAAACAGTCCTAGCAGTTTGCTGTTGCATTTACTGTAAGAATATTTGTGAGGATTATTTTTTCAGTATAACTCATTATCTCATATATGATGATCCATACTTGCCTTGATTGCCATGGAAAGCTTAATATTTTCTTGAGTTCCTAGTGTACTTTTTTCTTTATGGAAAAAGTAACTGTCACTTTTTGTTTTGATTTTTAGGAAGCTCACTGCCGAATGTGTATACAAGTATAGTACTGTGTAGAATCCTTTTTTTTTTTTTTCCCCCATACGGAGTCTCGCTCTGTGATCTGAGCTTACTGCAACTGTTGCCACCCTGGTTCAAGCAATTCTTCTGCTTCAGCCTCCCGAGTAGCTGGGACTACAGGTGTGTACCATCACATCATGCCTGGCTAATTTTTGTATTTTCAGTAGAAATAGGGTTTCACCATGTTGGCCAGGACTGGTCTTGAACTCCTGACGTCTAGTGATCCACCGCCTCAGCCTCCCAAAGTGCTGGGATTACAGGGGTGAACCACCACCCCAGGCCCCCTGTGTAGAATTGAAACGTGTGTATGACTGCATTATAACTTCCTCATGTGCTTGGTTTGCCCTTAAATTTCTGTATTTTGATCCTGATTTTTCTGACTTTGTTTTTTTTTCCATTTTTTGGTTTATGTTTATATTTATATTGTGTAAAATGTTTCAACTTGTTTGGTATAATAAAGTGAGGTTGTAAACAAGCAG